ATCTCATGCCTTATACAAAACCAACTAAAATGAAGCTAAGGCCTAATTGTGAAAGCTAAAACTATACAACTTGAAAGAGAAAATATAGGTGTAAATTTTCACAAGCTTGCATTAGGTATAGGCAATGGTTTCTTAGGTACAACCACAAAAACAACAGCTACAACAGAAAAAAATAGATAAACTGGACTTGACTGAAATGTAAATATTTACATATGAAAAGGCCATCCATAAAGTGAAAAGGCAACTCACAGAACTGGAGAACATATTACAAATCCTGTATCTGAGATATACTTCATAGGTTTCTGTTTCATGGAATAAAATCTGAGCAAAAGAACATAACTTCTACTAGACAACTAAGCAGATGTAAATGTTCTAACTTCGGAGATTACAGCAAATTTTTGAGGTCTCATGATTAGGATGCAAATCAATTTATCAGATGTATAGATCATGACTCAGTTACAGAAGCCGCCATAATCAACTGACTCCAGGCCTGGGCGTCAACTGAACGAGAACTGCTGTCTTGGCCATGTCACTGGGGTTGTTTCTACTTCATCTGTAATCGACATGGTTGAAAGTAAATTTCCAGCTAGCTAAAATTCTGAATTTATTTGATCTTACTGTGACTTTATAGTCAAAGGAGTTTTGAAATAGCTTTACTTGCTGGGAATGCATTCTATACTGTATGCACACTGTAGGAACTTGTTAGTGTCAAAAATTTCTATTGGACTTTGAAAAGGATTAAGCTCAATTTTTCGTAACCTGAACCAATTGATATATTCTATGAAATTAGTCTGAAGCAATATCACCACCTGGTGGCTTATCCTCAAAACACTACATCTTGAGGCTACTTTGGCCTCTCTTGTCAAACTGGGATAGGTTATTCAGATATGCCACTTTAGTATATACAATTTTAATAATGCCCCACAGATATTTTTAATAGTTATGCCATTATCCTAAAAAGCTTTTGTAATTCAACAAATTCTCTCAAATGTCTGTTTAGTGTTCTGTTTAGTGTTCATGAGCATAAAGAAATAGTGAACAAAATAAGCAAATGTATTTACATTTATAGATGTTACATTCAGTGATAGGAAGTAGACAATGAATAATAAGCATAAGTAAGTGAATTATATTTAGTGGCATATTTAAAAACCAGAATAAGAGGAATGTGGGGTAGATAGCAATTTTCAATAAGATGGTATTTAAGCAAAGAATTGAAAGAGATGAGGTAAAATTTTTGTGTGAAGGACATAATTCCATAGATTAGCAATCTAAATATTTAGCTTTAATTCCGGCTTGCTGCTGTAATTCTGCCTCTTCAAGTATTTGTTTGTAGTAAGCAGGAAATATAACACCGAATCAGTATTTATGGGAATGGCTATATCTTGAAAAACTTATGGTGCCCTTGAAATGATTCATCCCTCTTACAGAGAAATGATGTTTTAGTTAGTATCAGAAAAGATGAAAGAAATGGTCATCTAGCCTTGTGTTTCACTTTAATGTGACCATTATATAACACAAATTGAAATTTTCTATGACCGTAGTAACTGTTCTAGTCTTTCTTAAGGGCTTGGCAAAGGGCTTGGTGAAGATGGGATATCATCACAATAAAGATTAGCCAAGTTTTCCCAGCCTATTTAGAGTTTTATTTATAAATCTATTTCAGTCTTTTTGAAGTCATTTAAACTTTTTAATAGCTTTGAGTTAAGGAGTGCTTCTAAAAGTTTGAAAGGAATAGCATAGGGCCTTGAAAATAGTAAGTGGCTAGAATAAAGTTATTTTGTCTTAAAGACACATTAGACAATTTTTTAAACTTTTTTTTTAAAAAAAGATTTATTTATTCATACAGAACTGGGGTACAAGCCAGAGGTGCAGGGGCGGTGAGAGGGTCACCAGAGACAGAGTGTGGGGCAGAAAAGGCAGATCTATGAAGTACACTGCTGAGGGGAGCAGCGGGGGGCTCAAGAGAGGTCTGCTGCACCATGTGGGTCACCTCTGGGGCTGGGGTTTGAACTTGCACTGAAGCGGCTGCGGATGGCTTGCAGTGCTGTGTCCTAACCCACTGTGCCACTAGGGAGGGCCCACATTTGAAAATTTTAAAGGACAACACCTTATCATAAAACTTAGGGATTAAAAGTTTCTGAAATGGAGAAGTTTTTGTTTTGTTCTGGACTCATCAAAGAAATCAGACCAGATATTCATTAGAGAAGAGAAGACTAGATTGAGTAAATTTTGGAAAATAAAGTTTTGACAAATTTCTTAAGTTTTGATTCAGTCTTTATCACCCTTCTGTTTTTATAGTTGTAGAGTTGTAAATGAATACATAATACACATTATGAAAGGCTGTGATAGCTTCTTATTGTATTTGCCACACTTTTTAATTTGGTGAAAAGGAATGTGCAGGCTGATTCCATCTTCTGCCTGAGATTCTGTCTTTCTAAATTTTTAACTGAAAAACAAACAAACAAACAAACAAACAAAAAAAAAAAACAAAAAAACAAAACCAAAAACCAAAAAACCAAAAATCCAAACCAAAACTATTCAATGACTGGCAAGAATCAGTTTCCAGACAGACAAGGCCTTCACCAAGAACTGTGTGGATATTTAAAATTTTTTTATTCTCTACAAAGTACTGACTGCCATTTTGACTACATGTAAGACATGTGATCTACAATCAATTCTGGTTCTTATTTCTTAAAGATTTATTTTTATTTATTTATGAATACAAGAACTGGGGTATAGGCCAGAGGTGTGGGGTGGGGTAACAGTGGTGAGAAAATTCACCAGAGATAGAGTGGGTAGCAGAACAGCTAGATTGACTGAAATACACTGCTGAGAGGAACAGCAGGCAAGAGAGGAGAGGTCTGCTGTGCCTTTTGGGTCAGCTCCCTGGACAGGGATAGAATTCTGGCTGCAGTAGCTGTGGGTTGTTCCAGAGTGCTGCACTTTAACCTGTTGTGCCACCAGGAAGGGCCCAATCCTAGTTCTTTCTATATTCTACCCTTTCCTTTTTTTCCTTTAAAATCCCCTCAAACAGGAAAAATGCACAGAATGATGTAAAAATAAACTATTAAAAAAAAATCCCCTCAGGCCCTCCCTGGTGGCGCAACGGGTTAAAGCACAGCACTAAGAAGCTAAAGCCACTTCCGCATGAGTTCGATTCTGCCTGCCCCGAGGTGTCCACATGGCGTGGCAGACCTCTCCTGACCCGCCCACTGCTCCCCTCAGCAGTGTACTTCGTGGATCTGCCTGTTCTGCTCCCCACTCTGTCTCTGGTGAAGCCTCTCCCGGCCCCTGAGCCTCTGGCCTGTACCCCAGTTCTGTATGAACAAATAAATGAATCTTAAAAAAAAAAAAAAATCCCCTCAAAGATGCCCGAATTGTGCCTTGCAATTTGCAAATCTAAAGACCCCAAATAAGTGCCACTCTTTTACTTTGGTCGTGTTAAGTGTTTCTCAGGCAACATTACTGGTGTTCAAAGTGGGCAGACACAACGCACAGCCTGGAATCCAGCCTGGCTCCTGCAGGAGCAAATTCTGCAATGTCCTCTCCCCGTCGACCTCAGCTTCCTGTGTTGAGTCTCTTGGTTCTGAATTTCCCTCCTTCACTGAGATTTTGGCCTTTCTGGGGTTTTCTGGTGTTGGGTTTTGTTTCTTTGCATTTGCAGGGGGCTAATATCATGTTAGGCTTCTGTTTCTTAAATTTACTGAGGCTAAAATTCTTTGTCTGGTTTAGGATTACCATGTCCTTTTGTTAAAATTTATATTTATGGGGCTCTCCCTGATAGCAGAACAGGTTAAAACATCACATTGAAGCTCTCCAAAACCACGTTTGCACGAGTTCCATCCCCCGCCAGGGAGCTGACCCACATGGCCTGGCAGACCTCTCCTGACCTGCCCACTGCTCCCCTCAGCAGTGTATTTCAATAGATCTGCCTGTTTTGCTCCCTGTTGTGTCTCTGGTGAATCTTCTCACCCATCACACCTCTGGCCTGTACCCCAGTTCTGTAAGCATAAACAAATCTTTTTTAAAAATTATACTTATGAGCCAAACAACTCTTGGCAAGGGACCCTATCTCTTGAGAACTTGTGTTCCTTATAGGCAAATCCAACATTTACTCCATCATCTTTATGGTTGGGAAGTTGTAGGGTAGCTGTTCTTGCAACAATCACAACCCTAACTTGGGTACTTTTCTCTTGTTGACGCCAAAGAACCACACAAATTTATGATTTGCATGGACTTCCAACATGTAACCCAATACTACTAACACAGGGTCTGGATATGCCTTTACCAGAATTTTAGGAGACCTTAAAAAAAACCCCAACCGTCTAGAATCCCCTTATTCCACCCTCCAAGTGTCACCTCCTACCCCCCATTTCACTGTCACGACCTACATTGCTCCTAACCGACACTCTTCAAGGGAGCAGATATCCGGTCCCCAAAATCCGGACCAGACCGTCCACGCTGAAGGGTCCCTTTCCTGGACAGAGCCTCAGAGTCAGCAGGAAGGGAGAGGGTCCTCACGGTGGTCCTACAGGCCATTGCGACGCCCCAAATCTCGTTAGCGGCCCCGGTGTAGGCTGCTCTGTTTTGGTGGCGCCGGGCTCTTCCTATTATTATTACGTAGCCCTATTTCTTTATTGGAGAAAGCACCCTGAGATAGGTGGGTCGCCTCCACTGGGCGCTTCAGGACCTGCACCTGCAAAGCCACAGCCGGCGCCCTCGACCTACTGCGCCGTCTCGTCGAGACCCGTCTCGCATTCTTGGCGAGCGGATTCGCCACATTTTGGTGTCGGAATTTAAAATAAAAACTCGAACTTCCCAGCTTCGGAAGCACTTCGCGTTTAGGAAGACACAAGCGGGCGAGATCTCGCGTCCTTGAATTATTTTTTAGCTTCTGGTTTCTGTAGGATCTACCCTCGGCGCGTCAGAGAACTTGCGTCGAAAGTGTCGACGCGGACGCTCAGCCGCCGTGCCCGGCGCGCAGTCGCCGCGATCCCCACTCCCGCCCCCGCCGGGAGTCCGACGTGGAAGTTGCTGGCGGACCGGGCTTCCAGGGAAACCGCCCCGGAGCCGGAGCCCGAGCCGGAGGCCGAGACTGGCGGAGGTGGCGGCGCGGAGGCGCAAAAAGAAGTTGTTGCCAAGTCCAGGGCGTGTCTCTGACGGTCGACGGGGGCAGACATCATGGGTGAGGGGGTCCAAGACGGGCTCCCGGGCACGCTCGGGTGGGCTGCGGCGGGATGCTGGGGTCCGGAGGAGGAGCGGGGCGGGCCTGCGAGGCCAGGCGTGGGCGCAGACCGCCGGGGACTGGACCTCCTCGGGTCTTCGCCCGTGGCGGTGCACTCTGTCCGGCGCGTTCGCCCCCGCCCGCTCGTTCCGGTCCTGCCAGGCGGGTCTGGGCAGGAGGCAGCGCGGGTCCGCGGAGCGCGGCGGCCTGGGGGCCCCCGCTCCGAGCTCTTTCCCGGGATCGTGAACTTTCCCCTCAGCTCCCACAGCCCCGGCTTGACCGGCTGGGCAGGGTTGGTCTGGCGAAGCAGCGCAACGTGTCAGTCGCAGGATCGCCGAGGGTTCCTGGGTGAAAGCTGAGCTGTGACCCTAGTGGTCGCTGGGACTGCGTCTGTTTAGGAAAAAAATCATCCAGAGGGAGGTGCTGCTGGTGGGGGTGGCTGGTCGGCAGCTTGGCCTCTGCCTGCTGGGTGGGAGCTTGCTCAAGCTGGTAACAGTAGGATGGAGAAGGAAGTGGGCAGGGGATTACTGGCCAGTGAATGAAATTTCAACTCGGGTTTGGAGGGCTGATCAGGGAGCTCTGCATTGTCGGCACCAGCGTCACTAACCTCCTCTCGGCAGGAGCCCACGGGAAGGTACCGGTTCTTTAACTCGAAATGAAGGTTCAGATTCTCCAACTTATTCAAATTTCTCCCAAGTATTTTTTTGGAGCCTTACTTCCGGCTCCCAGATATCGCGCGCACTGTCCTGTCTTTTCCCACACCCCCGTCAGGTTTGTTCTTTCTCTTAGTCGTGAAAAGGTAGAAAGGACTTTGGCAGGTCTCACCCCTTCTTTACACTTTCCTAAGGTTCCTTTTTTGCAAACTTTTGGCCTCTCAATGGTGCCATTTCTTTGTCAAATAACTACTATGTGGGCGTGAGTCACTTCTGTGGTCAACTTTTTTATTAGTGTAACTTTCATTTAATTTTGTCTAATGACTTCTGGTGGGAAAGGGTCAACGTGCTTTTTTTTATATTGAAGAAAAATTTATTAAAAAAACTTTTGTCTTCCTTACTCTTGGGGTCTTTTTTTTTTTTTTTTTTTTTTTTTTTTGTCTCAGCGCCCTGCTGAAGCAAAGGATAATTTCTTAATGAATTTCCCCCAGGTTTATTGAGGTATGGAAGATAAGTAAAAGTCGTATATATTCAGTATGATGTCTTGATGGATGCAAACGTTGAAGTGCTAACCACAGCCCACTGGCATCGGTCCTCTTACAGTTACCTTTTCTTGTGTGCGGTGAGACCACGTCAAGATCTAGTCTCAAGGCAGATTTCCGCTATACAGTTCATTATTAACTACCTTCCCCACGATCGCTACAGTTATCTTATAATGAAAGGTTGCAGCCGTTGACCTACATCTCTCCCTTTCGCCTCCTCCCCCAGCGTCTGGTGCCTACCTTCTTCTGTCTTTAACAAGACTGTACATATAGGAGGCTTTGATGTAGCCTTATTTTTTAATTTACGTTTGTATCTCCCTTATATTGCTTTATAACTTTGCTTTATTACCTTTTTAAAGAAATTTCCCATCAAAATTAGTTTTATTTTTCACATCTGTGTGTCAGTTTCACGTGCCAGTTATATTGCTTACCAGGGAAGTCTCAGTGATTCAAAGTAGCTATGGCCTGTTGCTGTGGAACAGTCATAATCATTTCTTTTCATATTCAAGGGCTTCACTGTCCCCACTGTCATTCTGATTTGCCCTTTTCTTTTTAGGGTAGTGTGGAGATCATGCTAAGTTAGCCATATTCTCTTGATTAGAATATGAGCTCCATGAGGGCAGTGGTTATACTTCTCTTACTCTTGAGGGGATTTCCTGTGTTTTACTGACACAGCTAGGACATGACAGTAATTACTTGTTTGATGTTGAATAATAATATCTCACTAGAAGCGAAATGTGTACCTCTGAATTGAGGAGCATATTAAAATATTACTTAATGTGGTATAGCTTTCACAGGACAAGAGTAAATGTTTTGTGGACCTCCTTGACAAATAACTGAATATGTTTTCGCCTTTATTATTTTTTTTAGGTGGTTTTTTCTCAAGTATTTTTTCCAGTCTGTTTGGAACCCGGGAAATGAGGATTTTAATTTTGGGATTGGATGGAGCAGGAAAAACTACAATTTTGTACAGATTACAGGTTGGCGAAGTCGTTACCACTATTCCTAGTAAGTTGTTGGTATGATAAACTAATTATGGGGGTCTTTTGCTTTTCATCTAATATAATTTTCTGAATAAATAATTCATATGATGAAGTTATTGATAAGGTTTGAACTAGTATAGGCATAATATTGATGACTTTTTTTTTAACTGAGGCAATTTGGTATAATTTATGGGCAAGATTTTGCTGTTCAGATGTTTAAAATTTGGTTTGAGTTAAGCCACTTAACTTAATCTCATTGAGATAAAATGAAAAAAATAAAACATCTACTGACTGAGGAAGAGATAAATGAAGTAATCAAATACTTAGTAAATCCATGTAAAGAATTATAGATGTTAAGTGATTTATTTCTATATGAAAGTTTTTGCTGTAGTATTTGTTACTATTATTTTTTAAAAGATTTATTTATTCATACAGAACTGGGGTACAGGCTAGAGATGCAGAGGGTGAGAGGCTTCACCAGAGACATAGTGGGGAGCAGAACAGGCAGATCGAGGAAGTACACTGCTGAGGGGAGCAGCAGGCGGGCCAGGAGAGGTCTGCCATGCCATGTGGATCTCCTCCGGGGCAGGCGGGGATCGAACTCATGTGGAAGTGGCTTAAGTTTCTTAGTGCTGTGCTTTAACCCACTGCGCCACCAGGGAGGGCCAGTATTTGGTACTATTTTAAAAATAGTTTCTCTTAAGTAATTCTGTTGGTTACTTATAAAGATCTGAGATGAAGAGACTTAGTATTAGATTAATCTAGCACCTGGAATAATACAAAACACCTCAACTTTTTAACAGTTGTTGAAATCTTAGAAAAATATTCTCAAGGCTATTTGACTACATAAGAATAATGTTATGCATGTTTTCATTTTTTTGACCTCATTTTGTTTAGAGAAGATTATTACATTTAAATTAAGTTTAAGAACTTGTAGTTCACACAAGAGTATTTAGATTGTCTTTAGTCTGTCCACTTAGGTTTTCCGTATTTAGTAGTATTGGTTTCCACCTGAAAAAAAGTCTACTTTTTATGAAAGCAGACTTTTTGATCCTTATTTGTGGGATCTGTTATTTCTGCCGCCTTCAAAAACTTCGTTCCCTTGAGCTTTGCTTCACAAGTCTCCCATCTGTGCTGCAGTAAGTCTCGTGTCCTGCCCTGCAGAGCACAGTGCGGTAGATCTTATTTCACTGAATGAAACCTTCCCCACACTTTTGTCTTTTGATATAAATATATTGTTCCTAATAGTGAAGATGGCGATCACGCTCCTATTTAATTCTGAGGCACACATCATGAGTTTGCTGTATAGCTTTTCACTAAGCTATAGGCATACTTGCCAAATAGTGCAAGCGTCATTTGCCAACAGAGACTTACATCTAAAGCAAAAATTGTCCATTTATAGCTATAAGTTACTTCTTTCTTGGCTTTGTAAAAACTTGTGAAATCTTAGTTTTGAAGTAGTGACTGAAATTTTTCAGTGTCCTCTTCTCCCCTCCTTACATTCCATTCGGTGAACATAGTGGTATTGCCTCAGCATGTGGTGCGAGAGCTCCGCTTCGTAGGATGCCAGAAAAAGGGGTATGACACCCCTTTTCACCGTTGACCATCCCAAAACATAAGGTTTCTGGCTGAGCTCCTGAGGAAGTGAGTCTTCAGAGGTTGTGTGACGTTGCCGGCATCAGTGAGCGCAACTTTCACAAAGCGGTAGCAGGTTCGCCCTGCCCTAAGTTGGAGCCCAGCACCTCAGCTTTCTTGGTTTTATCAGCTGTTTACATGCTACCTGTTCAAATTCCATTTTTTGGTAATATATCTACAAACTGTCCTTTTCATACAGCTTTCTGAATACTGTTTGCCAGGATGGTATTATGAGCAGAGTTTCATGGAATAGTGTTTGCACTGTACTAACATGCTATATTCAGAGGTGGCCAGTTTCTTCCATGACCAGTCTGCAGGGCTGAATTTTGTTTGTTGATTTTGTGTGTGTGTGTTTGTTGATTATAGCAGCATACCTTCTTGTATTATGAGGAATATTATCTCAGTATTATAGTAAACAGTATCTCAGTAGTATGATTCAGTAATTATTAGTTGCTGAAACTCAATTAGATTGGATACTTAGAAGGTAGAATGTGTAAGTCTGTTTATACTATTGATTTGATTTCTCTTCCAGCTATTGGATTTAATGTTGAAACAGTAACATACAAAAACCTTAAATTCCAAGTCTGGGATTTAGGAGGACAGACAAGTATCAGGTATGGCAAATACCACATTATTTTGTGATATTTAATGCTTATTGGCTCTTTAAGGTTTATAGCAAACATTTTTTTCTAAATGGGAACCACCTAGTTTAAAATGAGATAAAACTGCTTATACTTTAAAGTGAATAAAATCTAAGGAAACTAGTTTTTCAGATATTAAATGATTTAAGGTCTGAAAAGTCTTTTCATGAAAATCTCAACACCTAATTACTTCAGTAGTTTTTAACTAAAATGGGCCATCCTTTAGTTCTTTTCAGCCTCTTCCTCTGTGACACACGTTTTAGATTTCATAATGGTACTTTGCAGGTTCACCGTAGTGGGCTAATGTGAGGATGATACCCTCGGGAACTTGGGTCCCCTGGACAGCATTCTGTGCGTGACCTGGCAGCTGTGTGTGTTAGGTGGTTGATGGTGGTTAAAAGATTAATAGTCCATCCCCTTCACCTCCTGTCACTGTGCAACTTATTTTCTTGCATAATTTTTAAATTTATTTCTGATTTTAGCCATTTCTGCTACTTGGTATCTTCAATGATCAGTTTAACCTATTATACAAAATCACATTAATATTTTTAAGAAAATACTCATTTTAAAGGGGTTTCTAGTTAAAAGATTTGAAAGATGTAATGATCAGGTAGACCTTTGTATATTTTTTTATATGAACATTAGTGTCTCTGCTGAAAGTCTGAATTCATTCTCAGACTCTTTGGTCCTGTGATGCAATATCTATCAACATTCTTTTAATCCTCTTTAATCTTTCTGATTTATGTTGGCATTGATTCTTGCACAGCTGGGGCAGAATTGGCGTTATCATCCCTCCCCATCATTGCCAAATTCTGACATGTAAATTAACATATTAGTTTCTTCTCTCAAGTAATAGCAGTTTCCTTTTTCTGAATTTTCCTTAGGCCATACTGGAGATGTTATTATTCCAATACAGATGCAGTCATTTATGTAGTTGACAGTTGTGACCGAGACCGAATTGGCATTTCCAAATCAGAGTTGGTTGCCATGTTGGAGGTAAGAAAACTTAAAATGTGGGGAAATGGCTACATTTGCTTATTGTATGCAGGAATAATTAAAAGAAAAGCAGTGACACTGTACCTCTAATACCTTTAGTATTATATGATTTTTTAAATACTTATTTATTTGTGCATAAAAGAACTGGGGTATAGGCCAGAGGTGTGGGGGATGAAAGGATTCACCAGAGACAGTGGGGAGCAGATCAGGCAGATCAACGAGGGGAGAAGCAGGCAAGATAGGAGAGGGTTGCTGAGATAGGAGAGGGCTGCCGCACCATGTGGGTCAGCTGCGATGGAACAGACGCAGGCAGTAGTGGCTGGTGATAGCTTGCTAGCCCTGACACTTTAACCCCTGTTCTACCAGGGAGGCCCAGTAAACACATTTTAAATAATGGAAATAAACAATACATGGCACAAAGATTTTTATAGATTGACTCTGTCACTTGGGTTTCTCTAATAGTCAAGTGAAAAGAATCTTAATAGTAATACTAGAAAAGTCATATCATTTCTGGTGCATGCATTCATGGTATATAGAGTGTTTTTATTTTTTCTGGGAAAATGATGGTTTGAAAAAGGATTCATGACTTAATATTAAGTATTAAACTTAATATTAAGTTTTTTTAAAGCAGGATATGGAACTGTGAACTTAAATGTATAGATGTATTTACTAAATATAGTATCTGTTACAGTAGGTAAATGTGATTGTGTTTGTGATGTAGGATTGTGGTGAAGGTTTTCTATTTCCCTACAACTTCAATTTCTATATTAATAATTAGAAAACATACTTTTAAAAATATGATTTGGCATTTCTAAACTCAAGGGAGCAAATTGACTAACAGAAATTAAATATGTTCTATTTTATTTAGGAAGAAGAACTAAGAAAAGCTATATTGGTGGTGTTTGCAAATAAGCAGGACATGGAACAAGCCATGACTCCCTCGGAGATGGCAAATTCACTTGGGTTACCTGCTTTGAAGGACCGAAAATGGCAGATATTCAAAACTTCAGCAACCAAAGGCACTGGGCTGGATGAGGCAATGGAATGGTAAGTGACATGTTTCTAGAAGCCACCTGTACATGCATGCGCAGAAATTCTCCTTAGTCTTAAATATAAAATTTAGAGCCCTTTCAGCCTTTCTCCTTCTTATTTTCAGGAGCTTCAGCCTTTGTTTTAGTTACATTTACCTGATTATTGTTACTTAAATAAGCCAAGTCTCTCCTGTTTTGCTCCCTGCCTGACCTCCAACTCCTTACCTTCAGGAATTAGGTGAAGGCCTTTTTCTCTTATGACTTCCCTGCATAAATCTGTGCCCACTTCCTCATCAATTGTAGTTCAGTGACCTATTACTTATACTCACAATTTTTTGGTTTACTTTTTTGTTTGATTTGTGCATTAATTTATCAGCTCCTTGGGACTGGGACTAGTTTTCACTTCTGAATTAGCAACAGCTGGCCTGTCAGTAGTAGAGGCAGCCCAGAAATAGATATTTAGTTTTTTAAAAATTATTATTCAAAGTATAAAATGCAAGACCTCATGGAAACTGAGTTCATAATCTCATTCCTTTAACATAACCCTAGTCTGCATTATTTTAAGTGCTTTGGACTTTTTCTCTGGTATAAAATTGATATTGTGAGTGATAATGCTCTGTACCTGTAAGTTTGAAGTTGAGTTTATGAAACTCTTTATTTTCTTTTAACAGGTTAGTTGAAACATTAAAGAGCAGACAGTAAAGTCAGCCACTTCTCTGGAAAGAGGAACATCGCGTATCCCTTTGGAGTCACTTGTGCTCTACACTACTAAATACTGACTGCACCATTTGTAATAAATATAAGAGTATTTAGTTGGAGGGTTAACTCATTGTGATTGAACCAGCTGAATATCTTTTCTGTGTAATATAAATATCCCTGCCTTGCTTTCTTGTGTTAAGGTTATATATTCTATTTGTATGGAATTCATATTCAAATGCAGTCCTATTAAAGATGTGCTCTTATTGAGGTTAAAAAAAAAACTTCCTATTTTTTAATTAGTGATTGTAGCTTGTTTGTATTAACACTAATAAATTTTTTAACTCAGATTTCCCTCCTTCCCCAAAATGAATTTTTTCCAAAGATCAGACTTAATAGATAGAGTAGGGTAGGAATATAGTGCGGGTAATTTGGTCTTCATTTGCTTAATGACCATTTTATTTAAGTTGTTTCATTTAAAAGCATTTGGTTATGGGCATGAAGCTTGTAGTTAGCTGCACTCTTACCTGTAATTGTCATTTTATAAGTGCTTTATAGTTGTCACAGAAAGATTTTACACATACTCATCTAGTCGATGTGTACAGGAATCCTGCGACTTAAGAGTTAGAGCAGGCTGTGCTGTCTCCTTTTTATAGACTTGGACCTGAGGTTGACTTGGCCAGGGTCGCCCGCTAGTGAGGTGGGTAGAAGCTTCAAAGCAAGACTTCTGAGTCGAAGCTTGTCCTGTAAACACCTTAAATTTCTGAAAATGCTAATATGGTTATATAGATAACCTAATCCTTAAATAAAATTATATAAGTTGAAATCGACATAAAACACTCAAAGTAATGTCCATAAATTTATCCATGCTAGTAGACATAGAAAAAGGCTTAAATTGATATATAATAGAATTCATAGCACATTAAACGAACTCTTAAAAAGGCTGTATTTTGAAAAACGTTGTGAGACATCTGTATTGTCTTAGATTTATCTATAGTTGGACATGTAAATTAAGTGAAAAGTCAGAATTTTATTCTATGAGGAGAAATTAAACAATTCATTTTAGAGATTAGATTTCCTGTTAGGTTATCAGAGACATTTAGAAAAAAATTATGTTCCAAAGAATTTTTGAAATTAAATTACCCAGCCCACCACAGGAGTAGCGAGAGTGAGGGGTGAATATAGTTCTTAGTAAATACTAACATAGGGTGGATTTTTTTCAATTTTCAATTAGACAGCCAGTATTATAAAAACCAGATGTTGGCAAAGAGAAGTTTGCAACTGTTGTGACCGTCAGAATCAGAACAGCACTGGCTTTATTTCCTGTCCCCACCACTGCCCTTCAGATGTTGACTTGTGGCTCTTCCCTCACACTTTTGGTTATTCTGAGTGCAGGTGAATGTTGGCTTTCTCTTCTCACCTGCAGGATTTTCCTCTTATTTTGGTCTCCTTGAAATCTTTTTTGGAGATGTGCTTCTGAGAACCTACTACTAACTGGGCCTAGCAGTGTGTTATAGGTCACTCCTGATGGGCAGGCTGCCCTCAACTCTGTCTCTAGAAGCCAAGTGTCTGGCTCAGTACACCACCTCAGAATGTGTTTATGGTTGAAATAGTATTTGCGGGCTCAGAGAATAGTATTCCTAAGTTTAATACTGGGCCCTCCCGCTGGTCAAGAGCATGAGCTGTTGCTGGGCTTGTTCCCAGGTAGCTGAGTCTCCCCAGCAGCTCAGGAATACTGTGAGTCCAGAATGGGCAAGTGAACTCCTGGCAGAAAGGTGCTGCCAGGACCTGGCATGTAGCCCTTGCCATCTTGCGTACTGAGGGCACAAGAAGCTGTGGTGGAGTGAGTGCTAGGATGATCCTAATCCCTCTGGCTGATGACAAAGGCTAGGATGGGGAAGAGTGTACACTCACCTTCATACGGTATCAATTACAGAGCTTTGTGTGTACAGGAATGATACAGGAGTTTGAATATTGATATTTACAAAATAATCTCGAGTTCTGTTTGTGAAAATGGGAGAGTACCATATTTGAAATCAGAACAGAAGTGAGTTGTAGGCACAAATGACTTAAGAGTTTTCCAGAAGACTTGGACAAACATGAAAGGTGTCTGTCAGCTCCAGGAATCTATTTTATAAGTCTGGTTGGTAGTTGTGCTATGTCATGTGATCGTACTGTAAAAAATGAGAAATTGAGAGTGGTGGTTACTTCTGTGATGTGAATACCTGAGATGCACTTTAAACTGTTGAAATGTAAACTGAGGGCAGTGGGCCATACCTTATTTACTGTTAGTGTCCCCTGCATTAGTGTGGTGCACCTGGTACATAGTAGGCACTCAATAAATATTCGCTGATTAAAACAAAGCCGTGCTCCATAGTCCTGAGATTTGTTTGAACTTTACCTTAGTATTAACTTTGATTTTTAAAATTTTGATGAAACAAAACATGCACTTACTTGAACTCACTTAGAATGAATGGAAAGGAGCCCTCTGAGATGTGCTGTTTATCCTTCTGGCACATTACACACCTCCTGCAGACATGAGACGCAATCCATATCCAAAACATGCTAAAGGTCCTCAAAGTCCGAACTTTCGATTCCTAGGCTGCATACAATACTATCCTGACTTCATAATCACAAATTATAAAGAGCATGGGCTTTCAATCCTAACTTGAATCCTTCTTCTTATGGTCCAATCCATGCCATCCTTAGGAAATGAGACTGTTTACTCATTCATTAAACAATTTTAGGAGGTTCTCAGGAATAAAATGGGGATGTACAACATGAATGCAGAGAACCTGGCACACAGATGGATTGTTCCTCTCTTCCAAGTGTATTAGGCAGTAAAGAGTTACATTGCTTCCACATCAAGACAAGTGTGAGGTAAAAGATGCCAGATAGTTGAACTAAGATGCTTCCAAATTGTTTTTCAAGGTGGCTTGTAGAGTTCCCACTGCTCTAATACGCTTGTCAGCATTTCCTGTTGTCAGCTTTACTAATTTGAAGGGTTCAAAAGGAATCTCACTCAGGTATTAATTTGAATTTTCCTACCAGTGAGGTTTACTACAGGAATAACTAAACATAACAACCAGACATAGTTGATGCAGAAGGACCCACACCCCCTGCCCAGACAGTAACCCTCTAGTCTCTGTGTGGGGAGATCCTGAATCTACTGACAAACGGCCAGGGTGAAACATGGGTAGCTCAATACTTAAGAACTGATACAACCACATATCCCAAATGTTAAGGACCATTAATATTTCTATTGTTACTGGGTTACTTTTGCTGGTTCCTGTCTATGACTCTGTATATATATTCATTATATGGCCTGGGAACTACTAATCCTCTCAATATGTTATGCGCCATGGCCCAGTTGTGTCTTTTCATAAATGGGAGTTCCTCAATGAAGTGGAATTTATTAACGTGTTCCCTCGTTAATAAATTGTGTCTTAGCTGACAAGGAAAGCCCCCTTTCTCGTTCTTTTTTTAAAGCACTTCATGGTTATTCTCAGCTTACTATCTTCTACATACACTGTAGAATCAGCTCATTCGCTGCATTTAACCAGTGGTGCCCAGTATGGGAAGAAATAACGTGCCTCTGAATCTTCCTTCTCATGAACATGGTTGTATTTCTCCATTTGTGCAGTTCTGTCTTTGGATGAAGCTTCATTTCCTCCATCCACGAAAGCAGGAGTGTGCACACGCCTGATTATTCCTAACTACATTTCCTTCTTGCTATTTTAAAGTGTATTTTTAAAAAATGACATTTTAAACGGAATTTTATGACATCCCATGCTTTTTAAGACAATGAAGATGCTGTAGTATTTTGAAATGTTTTAATAAGAAAGAGACCATGCTTATATTAAACTGTATATTACACAATCTATGGGAAAGGCTAATTAAATAACAAAACCTGTTGACTTCAGCCCAGCAGAACCCAACGGGAAGTCCAAGCTTTGGGGTGAGACAGTGTGTCAGCACGCTGAGCACGTCACTCCACCATCGCCAAGTCTTTCAGGCTGTGGCTCTTGTGTCTCTTGGCCTTATAGCCTGGACGCAGGAACTCTATTTTTCTCTTTTTTGCTTCTTTTTTATTTCTGTGTTTCTTCATTTTTTTCTTGGCGGCAATATCAGGATTTGTTACAAACTTGAAAAAAAAGGAATGTGAATTTTATATTACTATCAAACCAATAAAAATCAAATGCAGAAATGTATCTTTTGCTTCACCTTTCAAGAGGCTGCATGTGTCTCGTGCCCATTGGAAAAAAATTCAACTCTCAAGTCCCAGCTCTCAAACTTTCCTAAGTGTGACACCCCACCTCTGCCCCCGAGCCTGGAGATAGTTACGAGTCCTAATAAATATACCAGGTTTTCAAAGAGCCAAGCCTTACCTCCAACGCCTTCCTCTTTTTGCGAAGTGCCCTTTTTTCACTAGCCTGCTTCTGTACAGAGGCGAAGGCCAATGAGAAGTTCTCCAACCCAACCAGCTTTTTGAGTAATTCTATGATTTCCTGGGATAGATTCTTCAGCAAAGGATCTAATCACAGTGAGAGTAATAATCAGAGTCTGTCACATGGGAAAGGACATTTGAATATCTACAAAATGAACAATTTGCACAATTTAAACTGGCTGTCACTTTTACTACTTTAAAAAAGGCTTATTTATGTACACAAGAGCTGGGGTGCAGGCCAGAGGTACAGGGTGGTGGTGGTAAGAGGATTCACCAGAGACAGAGTGGGGAGCAGAACAGGCAGACTGACTGGAATACACTGCTGAGGGGGCAGTGGGTGGGTCAGGAGCGGTCTGCTGTGCCATGTGGGTCAGCTCCCTGGATAGGGATCGAATGTGTGCTATAGTGGCTGCTGATAGCTTCATAGTGCTGAGACTTAAAAGCCCTGCACCACCAGAGAGGCCTTTTACCACTTCAACATTAAATATTGATCTAAAAGCAGCTCTGTGTTCCAGAGGTGGGGTAACAAGCCGAACTGTGGGGCCCGCCCTGAGGCACAGATCAGCAGGATGCAACAAGGTCAGAGACCATGAGTTGCACTTGAAGCAGAATCCCGGCTCTGAAGACCGGGTGACTTGCAAACGCCACGTGAACACTTGGGTCACATTACTAACCCCTCAGCTTGTTGAAAGAGGGGGAAAGGTAATGTGGGTCATTTTTAGCACTGGAGATAACTTTTTTTTGGCTCAAACACTCCTTTGAGAAGCCGATAAAAAGCTATTTGTTCTCCCTCCCTTTCCTCCACTCTCCCATATGGATCCACAGGCCATTGCATTCAATTTCAGAAGAGTTTAGAAAAACCTATTCTAGATTGTAAGCTTGAAGATGAGGGGCTAGGGCGTTTTTAGACTTTTTAAGGCAAATGTCAGACAGCAAAGCTGACTGGTGAGAAGCAAAGCCTTCCCGACCTGTACCACTGCTTTTTCCTCTAACAGCAAGGAAATGTTCTCCCTATGCTGTAGGGCTAAAATGGTTGCTGTTCTGACATTCATGTCATTTGTTTAATTAAAAACCTTTCAACTCTACTTTATCCACTTTATCTCCTCTCCTTCAAACCCAATTCCCCCGAGGGAAGTATACTATACAAGAAGAACAATGGGAAATAAGATTTAAATGAAAACTATTTCATTAAAAAAAAACAATACATAGACTTTTGTCTTATAATTCTTAAAAGAATGTCATTATATTTTGTTATTCATTACCCTAAATGAGGTTTAGAACCATCCAAACTATAATTTCCCTTGAATTTTTATGCTTAGGGGTAAAACATTTCAGCGGAGAAACACTGGCTGTTAGAGAAGGCATAATGGAGAGGACAGTCAAATAGAACACACATATGCCTTATTAGTTTGCTAGTGTTTTGATACATCATGTTTTCTTTTTAAAACTCTGCCATGGAGGGAGGATGGAAGGAGGAGGAAGCATTCAGCACAGAAGCAAGGAACCCTAGCATGCAAGATTCAGGGGAGAGGGCCCCACAGTTACCCTGGTCCAGACAGGTGCTGTTCAGTTCTCGGAACAGAGGCGCTATGATCACCGGGAGGTAGGGCTTCACCTTGTCCGCTCCAAGGTCCATGGCCATCGCGCCGAGAAATTTAAAGATGCATGTTCTCTGAAAGCACAGACCATTTTTCATTTGCAGTGTTTCTATTAACCTTGCAATCATACAAGCAGCAGATTTAGAACACAGACTATTTGGGGACAGAGAGCTACCACTGCAGTTTTGGGTACTAAAGGCAAAGTTCTGAGGAACATGGGAGGGTCACTAATATCTTTAAAACGCTGGGCTGTCGGAAAAGGCATGCCACATTTTTGCTTGAGAAACAGAAAAATAAGAGATGACTTTTCCCACAACCCAATACTTTGTCAGAAACGGCTACTTTTGGCCATTCTGCATACTCCTCATACCTTTAACTGGTTCCTGGGGGAATAAGCAGATTCCAGCTTGGCCATCCGGGACAATTTCTGGATCAACCACAACAGCGTGGCTGGCCTGCTGTATCCCTCCTTTGCGTCTTCCTTCTCTTCTCTGTCCAATTCTGCCTTTCCATCTGCACAGGCCTCGTCATCTGTCCTTCTGGTCACACCATCTCCTAAAGTTTCTTCTTGCTCCAGGTCTTTAATCTCATTTTTGTCCTCAGAATCAGGCTCCAGCAAAAATAAGACTTTGGCTATGAACAACAAATTCTTAACAACCTTAAGAAAGGGGTTGGAGAGGGGCAGGAGAAATTGGATTATGATTTTGAAATAAATATGGACTAGTAAAGCAGAAGCTAAAATAGGTATTCCACAATTACAATATAAAACAACTGGGTATTGTACTTTCTCTCCATTCCCATTCCAACCTTTACCCATTCTTCAGAGGAGTAACAATTAGTCAGCAGTGACTGGTTGCTTATATATCGCCTTCAATTCACCTTCAGGTGAGCAAGCCACGGCCCTGAGTTCTAACACTCACTCAAAGGTAGAGTCAGAGGTGTTTAGAATTCAAGCCCAAGATTTAAACACTACACTCCTCCTTCCTCAAATCTCATCTGATCCAGACTGCTAACAGCTCAGGAACTGCTTTTAGTCTTTTGCTAAGACTAAAGTGTACAGAGTCCCCAGCTGTACTATCTACAGAATCTCTGACGTACGCATTTCATGTGGAGGTGGAGACTAAGTGGCTTTGCGTTCTCTCACTTCTCTAGCTGTTCTGCTAGATGCGTTGTATGTGACAAGTCCCCCCAAATGCAGTACTCAGAACCCCACACTGTCCAAGGCTTGCCTGGCTGTCAAGAATTAATAAAGCCAAGACAATAAATTCCTTCCTCTGGAAGCTTGCCCTCCATGAAGATGGCCCCAGGTTGGGAGGTCTTTCCCCTGTAACAGTTGCTCACATTGTTAACTTACCCTAAGATTATGTTGAACTAAATAAACCCCGTAATTTCTTTCACCTGGGCTCAGTCCTAGTAAATCTCTCCTTCCTATCCTGAGTCTATATAGTCTGTTAGTCTCTATTTGACAGTGTAAGACCCCACCCACTGTCCACCCTGGCAGGATTTGTTTGGCCTCACTTTGCTCTCCATTTTAGTAGCTATCTGTTTCTTCCTCAACCCTGTCCTTGCATGAAGCATGCTATATTTTCATTTAGAAAAATGATGGAAGTATTGGTGTTTGGGACATGTTGCTTGAGATCACTATTTAGAAGAACATTCACCTTCTTCTACTGCCTTATGCCTTAACCTGTATTACTGTGACTTGCTGAGAATGACACGGTCAAGTGCTTATGTGATGAGGCTTGGGAAGGGGGGTGTGAGAGGATTCACCAGAGACAGTGGGGAGCAGAACAAGTAGACTGACTGAAATACACTGCTGAAGGGAGCAGTGGGCAAGCCAGAGACATCTGCTGTGCCATGTGGGCTAGCTTCCTGGGTAGGGACTGAACTCGTGTTGCAGTGTCTGTGATAGTTTCATAGTGCTGCACTTTACCTTCCTGTCCACTAGGGAGGCCCTTTAGTGGGAACTTTAAATGGAGCCCAAAGTCATTCATCATGGACCACGGAGTCAATAAGACAAATGTACATGACTGAGCACATGTTCGAGCATATGTCCATATTTCATTTAATTCCCCAAACATAAGGTAGGAAAAGATGCTACCATATGTGAGCCGATTCCTAGACTGTCAGTAGACTAGGTCTCCTATTTTAAACTAGGAAGATTGCAGTACTTACTTGCTCTCCTAGAGACTGATCCAAAAATTTGGAATATAATTGATGGCAAGAAGCTAGAGAGATACTTTTCATCTGTGAAAAGAAAATGGACATTGAAAGACACAAAAAGAGTATTTCAAAAACCCCCAAGTAACCGTAATACAACAGAGGTACTAGATTCTACTCTGATCAGTTACTTGTGTAGAAATGGAGAAGTTGTTTAGCTGTTCATATCTGCCTGCCCCAAGCCTTTCAGCCTAAGGAAATTTCAAGCTCTGGGGAGATAACTTCTTAAACGATAAGCCAAATTATCTTTTCTTCCTCTGTTCTTCCCTTGCATGCTCTACTTATTACTTATGGCCTTCCGAAAACTATGACCTTAGAAGTTATTGCAGGTCCTAGAAGTCACAGATATACCTTAGTTCTCACTTAACATTTTTACGAATGTAATCTCACTTAGACTGCAATAAAGTTATGAAAAGAGGCAGGACAGATAAGATTTATCTTATTTTCCAATGTTGAAAAACTTAAACACATAATGGAAGATGGACACTATAAATGAGCAAATCAAGTTTGACTAGGCTGACTGTCTCTGAAGAACCTTGGCCTTGAGGGTAATCCTGCCGTTACCAGCTTGCCTCCAGATTCACATGGGTGTCAAGTTGTCACTTTACAGAGTTTCTGCTAACCTGAACTGAGCCACAATGAACATCTCACACAGACCACAAGAGAAAGTTCTAGAGAAACCTTACCTTTTGGTCAAGGTCACTTGTTAGGAACCTGACCGCTACAGGTTCTGGGAGCTTCTTTTTAGTTTTCTTCCCATTCCATTTTCTTATCAGCTCCGCTGGTTGGCAGGAGGCAAAGAGCAATCCAAAAATCTGAGCTGCGGTGAGCCACACCCAATTGTGTGGGTGTCTCAGGTGACAGTGCACGTGGCCTGCAGACAACAGGGTTCTCAGCATCCTCTGCTCTTCATTGTTAAGTATGACTCATTTATTGGACATTAACTGAGAATTTATCATGTGCTTTGAGTTGGGAACCAAAAATGAACAAGTGTCCCCGCTTCCCAGACCCAGCAGAGCTAGGGAAAAGTAAGGTGGTGAGACACTGGAGACAATTAGAAATCACGTGGTAAATGAAACACTGGAGATAATGGAGGGGCCTACGAGGCCAGTTCCATTCAGAACCAGTTTCAGATTCAAGTGAGAGAAGGTGCTATTAACATTTATAATTTCTAAATGAAGTAATGCAAATATGCTACTGAAAAATGACCTGCTTTGGCTGCGCTGAGATTTGATCTATCACAAAGGTTTTATGTGAACTCTGTGGCTGGCACAGGCCTAAATGTATTTCACGTGTGGGCCTCACAATGGTTCTGAGAGTGTTTACAGGTGTTCCGGAGGGACTAAGTGAGAAGCCACACTGTTACAGGCAGAACCAGGTCTGGGCACCACCTCGATCTGGTCCCAGAACTCGTGACCTTAAATATGACCCTATTAGGTGTCATAAGTAAAGTGCACACTCTCCACGTGCCACACTTGGAAAACACAGGGGAAAGCTTTGTGGTGTTAGGGATTAACAGACTGGATGAGCCATGTCGTTATCTGAGTTTTAGTCTATACTAAACTAGATTTCCTGAACATGATTTTACTTTTGTTCTATATGAACCTTTGTAATTGTGATATCAATTCTCAGCGCAGCGAGCCAGAACATGTAGTAAGCAACTTGGCACCGTCTTCTCACAGGATCGTGAGCTCTTATCAAATACACGGGCACTGAAAGCATTCACTCCAATAGCCATTTCCTAATGACAAAACAAAATTGAGTCAAAAATTCTAGGGTGTTACTTTTCATTTAAAGATTGATATATAGTAACTTAAATATTCTATAGGCGTGAAATGGTGTAGTAAGTTATGACATGTGTGCTGACGGGCTATTTGCAGATACTTAAAAGAATAATGACCAAGTGGTAACAGTAGTGATCACTTTTTACTTAGGGACAAACAACACATGAAATTATGCGACCTCTCCTAAAAGTCTATGGCTTTTTAACAAAGAAAAAGGTTGGACGTAACACACATCAAATCATCATCAAGCAGCAAGGAGATCTTTGGAAACCTTTGCCATTCCTTTCCTCTGTTATAATTAATATTCTTCCTTTAGAAGCGAAGTGGGGATTACTGATGGAGTCATAAAAACATTATTTTATATTAAACAGATATTGTTTTTATAGAAAGCATTTTCACTGTAATCAACCTGAAAGGCCTCTTCTTTTCTCATGGACTTTTTCCTTGAAATACTCATATTCTTTTTTCCAAGTTCTGTTTTCAATAATTCTACTGCCACTCAAATATTGACATTTAGATTCAAATAAAGAGGTAATACTCACTCCATATTTTACTCAAAGTCTCAGAGGGCTTGGTAAGCTGGATAATATTACATTCCTTGATGAGCTTACTTATCAGTGTAAGAAAGCTAAACAGAAGGCGATCTGCAGCTTTTTCTTCAGCCTCTTCTATGATCTAAAAGCAGGATGGAAGCACTTAATTTATGCCAGTGACTATAAGGGATTTGACATACTTTTGCTCCAGCATGTAAATCTATAACAGGCTCGCACAACCTCAACACTACTAACACTCTGGGTCAAGTAGTTCAGGGTGCAGGGGCTCCCCGTGCACTACAGGAAGTGTAGCAGCGTCCCGGTGGAACCCCCCACCCTCCAGTTGTGACAGCTCAAATGTCTCCAGTCAGAGCTAAATGGCGTCTGGAGGGAGAAATTCTGCTTGGGAACCTTTGGTCTTCATGAACTAGGGGAAAGACTTACTATTTTTTTTTAATTAAACATTTTTTTTTTTAAATATTTTTAATTTTTTTCACTCCATTCTTCATTTTGTGCATTTAACCATCTCAGTTGTAATCCCCTGGGCTTCCTACCACCTAGTCATCTGTGTGCCATCACCACAATCCACTGCATTCTTTCCACCCTAGTTCTGACTCCATTCCCCCTCCCACCCTCATAAAATGTCTCTGGATTTCATTTTTACTCTACTACCTTTGTTTGTCTCTCTCTCCCTCTATTTTCTTTTTGGAAAAACTTACTTTTAACCCTCATCTTAAACAGATTGAGCTGCACTGAGTTCTCACTTTGGTTAACATAGTAACACATTTTGGAATACAAATAGTATTTAATCTGTTTACTATGCTACCTTAAGTAAAAGTATAAAAACAGTAAATGTTTTATTCCCTAGAAAATAACTTACATCTTTAAAATTTTCAGGATCAATCTCCTTTTCAATCACAGGGAGAACAGTGTCAAGCCTTCTCTCAAAAGCGACTCCTTCATTTTCTGCAAACAAGCCACAGGTCAGGGCAGCTAGCTGTCTATTTAAGCTCTGCAAGACAATGAAAATACAACTTGGGAGGCGGTTTCCAAATTGCAAAATGACTGTGTCCTCAGCATTTCTTTGTAATATCAGAAATCAACAGAACATGGATCTTTGATGGCTAACATGAAAAAAATGGAGGTCTCCTCCAAAAGAGCATTAAAAATGGCATTATTCATCATCACAGAATTCTTTAATACATTTTAAATTAAAAGAAAAAAAAAGGGCCCTCCCTGGTGGCGCAGCGGGTTAAAGCACTGCACTGAGAAGCTTAAACCACTTCCGAATGAGTTCAATTCCTGCCTGCCCTGGAGGTGACCACATGGTGTGGCAGACCTCTCCGGACCCGCCCGCTGCTCCCCTCAGCAGTGTACTTCATCGATCTGCCTGTTCTGCTCCCTGCTCTGTCTCTGGTGAATCCTCTTACCCTCCGCGTCTCTGGCCTGTACCCCAGTTCTGTATGAATAAATAAATAAATCTTTAAAAAAAAGAAAAAAGAAAAAAGAAAGAAAAGTAGTTACATACCACTCTTTCTGATGCCTATTTATTTATTTACTTATGCATATAAGAACTGGGATTTTAGGCCAGAGGTGCAGGGGGTGAGAGGATTCACCAGAGACAGAGTGGGGAGGTCTGCTGTGCCATGAAAATTGATGTCTATTGTGTGTATTCCACAAAGGTGAGTTAGTGATGAAGGTGGTACAGTCAGCAAGTGGATACAATCACTGACCAATCAATCACTTTACATTCCATAGAACAAATAAGCAAGATGGGAAACCAAGGTATTCATCAACAGGAATGGGGTAAGTAAATTACAACATACTCACGAAGTAGGGAGACTGCTGGCAGTAATCACACAGTCAAAACATAGGTGGCTTTTATGTCAGTCCCTATAACTTACATTTCTTAAACTGTACTGCAAACTTTGCATTATCATGTAATGTGCAGTAATGGGACGTAACTGGTAATAAGGTATTACAACTCTGAAAGGTGCTAAAGAAAAACAGTAAATAGACTTGATTATGCTGATCATTTCACAACCTATACCAGCACTGAGTCACTAGGTTATACACCTGAAGCTGCAATAATGTGTCAGTCACACAATGAATGAAAAAGACCTAAAAACAATAGGTACAGTATCACCATCAAGTACATCGAAACAATACTGCATGTCTCCATCCACCAAAATCTCCCTCTAAGTAAGAGTTAATTAAAAAAGGATCACTAGATATTATAATAAAAATAATACAGCTACTAACACAACAGTATTTAAGAGGCCAATGCCAAGAGCTGAGACTTATCACTGAAACGTGACCAAGAGCAACCCTCACCTTCTTTGCCTTGAACCACGTGGTAACCATGTCAAAGAGCCAGTCTCGTTTCTCAAGGCTGATTTTGCCGAGTAAGGCCTTGATCGTCATGGATGCCATCTTCTTGCACGTGGCGGAGTCGTCGTTCACCAGCATTAGACAGAGGGGAATAAAGAACATCCCGCAGTTCTCGTGGAGCAGCCCCTAGGGGAGACACCACGGCTGAGCACATCCGAGAGGATCCTCAGAGACCCTCTCAGGAAGCAAGGGTGGGCCGGGGGGCTCCCGGTACCTGAGGGAACGTGTCGAAGATGTAGGCAATCATTTCCAGGGTGGACTCTCTTCCGGTCTCATGTTCATAACTAGGACGGGGATATTAGAAGATTTGTTGGTATCTAAAAGTTGCCAATAATGACATTTAAAGATTTTCACCATTCTCCTAAGTGGACTCGAATGACAGTATCAACGGTCAGTCTGACTTGAAAAGGAACTGACAGAACTGCCACCTCAGGTCCTACAGGCTATCATCCTCAGGCAGCGTGCCCTTGGCATTTCAGGCTTGTTCTTGTCAAGACAGCCACCACACTAACAGGGGAGCAATGTACCCCATACGCCCCTGTGCAGGTCAGGGCTTATACTTACTTCAGTTGAGCGAGCAGGAATTCCAAATTTGGTCTTAATTTGTCACCCAGTGGGTAGTCAAGAATATATTTCAGGAAAACCTGGGACGAGAAGTCACATACACGGATGATCATTCGGATCCTGTCTCACCAGGATTCCTGTTTCTCAAGCTACTTTTTGGGACACACTGTAGGTTGCAAAGCATGATTCTGGAAGCATGATCAGCGAAGTGAAGTCTATCTCCTGCACCATGACTGTGCCCTTTCTTCTGTCTTCTCACCCTCCTGTCTTAGTGCCTGATGTAGAGTCAAGTCCTGGACCTCACTGGCACCAATTCTGAGCTCACACGTTGGAGACTCATTCTCTGACAGGCGGGGTGGTGCAGGGCAGGGGGCTGGGTGTGGAAAGCCCTCCCCGCCTGTCACTCTAGGTGGTCCTCCCCTACCTGACAACTGTCATACGCTCTTTCCATCAATTCTACACATTTCATCAGTTCTCAGAAGCACAGTTTCTCACAATTTAATAGTATGAAACTGGGATGTGCCTTACAACTGACGGCACCTTGCTACCTTTCTTTCTTTGAGCTGTGCAAATAGTGGTCTGTCTCACCAGTGAGGGCCTTTGACGGCCCCCTCCTCCTGGCACTGACACCTGCCATCAGGTAACTGTTCACGGGAGTTGTGCTCTGCGCCCATCTCCTGCGGGGCGGGGGCCACGAGGCCACGTGGCTGCTCCCGCAGCAGCACCTCGTACAGTGACGCCTGAGGAGCGAAGCCTGGAGCGCTGGCGAACTGCTGCTGAAGGCGTCCACACTGTGGAAGGGAGGTGACCTTCATCTACCTGAGCCTCCCTGTGTGGTGGGCTGGACTCAAATGCCTCCTTGTTAACTGAAATCTGGCCCAGAGACAAAGCAGAGACACTTGTCTCACACTTAAAGTGAAAATGGATTCGGGAGCCTCAAAATAAAGCAACAGTATGACATTAGGTCCTAAGAATTCGGTCAATGTTGACGTGTCTCTGAAGACAGAGAGGCAGGGCTCAGCCTCTGCTTACAAACCTGTCTGCACTGGACTCTGGCAGGCTCGTTTTGTGCAGAAATTGCCAACTTGGATACTTTCCTCATGATGTCATCAATTTCTGGGACCAGTAATTTTCTTGATAAAATGGCCTAAAACACAAAAGGACAAGACGTAATCATTTCATGCATCACTGTAGATGGGTGTAAGACTGTCTGACAATAAAGATGTCACAGGCATTTTCTATATGCAATGAAAGTATCTTCCAATATATACACATATAAATGGTTAAAACGACAGAAAAGGGAAGATTAAAACAGTAATTTTTTTTTCATGCTTTTCTTTTTTAACCACAATTAAAAACAAAAAAGTCCAACATGATAAACACAAGTTGAGTAGCTGTATTTGTACAGAATTCCCTGGAAATTCTGTACAAATGTGTTCACTTTCAAACATTTTAATAAGTTGACATATTAGTCTGCAATGAACTCACTAGAATCATCATAATTTTTTGGAATTACCTAATTTTGGAAGTCTCTAGCTAGTAAAACACAAGGTCCACATTATTCTGTCAAGCTCAGGAAATGTCAAGTCCAACACGTGAGTGAGAGTGACATACCTTCAGCAGGCCAAACGCCGTGGCCTGTCGTGAGGTATCGTAAATGTCCTCCTCGGCATATGCTAGAAGAACCTGAAGCTGCTTCTCCGTGATCTGGTATGTCTTCACTTTCTTCACCAGAATGGTCACACACTGAGAGTTACAAAAGAGAGGTTAATCTCCAGGAGAACCCACAAAGCAGGACTCGGGGACTGGACGCCAGTCCTCTGCTCGTAGCAAATCAGTCTGGATAAAATATTGACCAAGGCCACAGAAGGGCAGTGGGGAAAACTAATTTTGAAGTTAATCAGGTTCTAGCTGCTTCCAAGTGCAAATGAAAATACCTTACCTTGAAACAATTCACTGCCAGGTGGAAGTTCTGGCCCCTGGCAGCGCCCAGTTTTGCGTAGTTCTTCAGCAAAAGGAAAAGGTGCTTGGTGAGCTGCTCTGCTTTTGTTTCTATAGAAGGCAGAGGGAACTTCAGCACCCAGATCAGGCATTGCAAAGCACCAGTGATCACCTGAAAAACAGAAGCAAGAAGACCTAACCAACTTAGGATGCGACCAAGCCCAACAATCCAGCACCTGAGTTGTACAGAATCATTAAGTGATGAATTGAAGAGATGAAGAGCCCTGCCCAGCCACTCCGGAAGAGCGATCCAGACTGTGAGAAGCGAAGCTCCTGTCTCTCACTGGGGAACTCACCACATACCACAGCAAGCGAGGACACATCACATAAGAAAAACTGATTTGCAGACTCTTAACCTATGTAGGTAAATGCCTGGAAAAACACATTATAAATGACTTCTCTATTTTTTAGAACGGTTCTTCCATTTAATCCATTCTTTTTAAGCTTGTATTATGTAAATGAAACACCTTAAGGAGGATTAAAAACAAGGATTAAAAGGATGCTACCCCCACACTTACACAGCAGATAGTTGACTCAGCAATTAAACATGGGTGAAATGAACTAAAATTTAAAATAGTTAAGTGCTGGGGCCACGTGATTACTTGGGAATCCCCAACCTCCAGACCAAACCTTAGAGATACTCTGTCAGCTAGCTCACCTGGACCTAAGAGTTCCCCACAGCTCATGAACTGGGTTAGATGAAGACAGCTTAGGAGTCAGAAAAAGAGGCCTTCAATCCCAGCTCTGCAGCTTTTACCTGTTCAACTAGAGAGCTGTGACCTCAGCTCTCGGTTCCTACACTGTAAAACAGACTATCTGAGGAAGTAGGAGGCAGTTGGCTTTGGAGTCAGAAGATGGAGATCTACTTAGATCAACGATCTGGCCATAGCGCCAGGCCAACTTTTCATTTATTAAACAGGACATTAATATCTACCCCATGGCTTGTTAAGAGGAGCCACAGTGGAGCAGCAGTAGCGACAAGGATGAGGAGGGTGATGAGAGGGGACACTGACCCCCTCATGGGAGTCGTCGTGAGGAAACCATGATGACATTCATGTACCTAAAAGGGCCTTTAAAACTGCTAAGGGCTATTCCAACATACGGGCTTACTGAATGGGCGGTGGGGGGAGCAGCTTCATGTAGGGAAAAGAGAGTTTATGATGCCATAAAGCCTTTAAAAAACTCAACCAAGCCGTGATGTTAGAACCCAGAAAGAAGTATCAGGTCGCTCGCACAGCATGGCTCTGTAAAGGCGCGGAGGCCCACCTTCACGTCCATGGAGCCCAGGCAGTCTATGAGGAGGGACACAAAAGGATCCAGCATTTCCAGAACGTGTGCACTCGAAGACTTGATCTTGGAAGTCTTCAGACTCAGATACAGCAGCTAAGAGATTGAAAATGGCATTTCACATTAGTTGCTCATAACCACATGAACTACCTAAAGGAGAGATAGTTTGAGAGATAAACATGAAATATTTAGATCCTTCTGTCTGAAATTATGAAATTTTGAAGAAACAGGAAACTGCCTGGGAGAGGCTCAGGAAGTGAAGACAGTGGGAAGTCACGGTGCGGCCGAGAGCCCAAGTTCATCTACCAAACGGTCCCTCATAAGCTACTGTGACTGCAGGCGCTGGGTGGCGCAGGCCTCGACCCTGACCAAGGTGGGCCTGCTCTGATGGCTCTGTGCCAGGAAGACAGACTCCGGGCAATAGTGAACATAAACAGGAAGCTCTGAGGGTTCTGTGGGGACCTGGGCAGAGGGAGAACAAGTGCTGCGGCCTCGGGCAGGGAGGGGGCGCAGGCCCACAGCACTGACGCGTGTGCCAGTGACAACGTGAGGCGAGGGGCTTGCAGCCCAAAGAAAGACCAGGCTCTCTGCTAAGAAAAATGGAGTCAAAGGGGGTTTGGAAAGGAAATAAATGTATCAGATTTATGCCTTTTTTTTTTTAAGATTTACTTATGCATATAGAACCGGGGTACAGGCCAGAGGTGGAGGGGCGGTGAGAGGATTCACCAGAGACAGAGTGGGGAGCAGAACAGGACGACTGACCAGGTACACTGCTGAGGGGAGCAGCGGTCAGAAGAGGTGTGCCATACCACGTGGGTCACCTCCGGGGCGGGGGTGGAACTTGCACAGAAGCAGCTGTGGCTAGCTTCGCAGCGCTGCACTTTAACCCACTGCACCACCAGGGAGGGCCAGATTTACACTTTTAAAAGCACCTCTTCTTTTAAAAACAATTCCAAGTAGTACAGAGGTGCTCATGGGCAGAGCAACAGTGACAACATACTAAATACTAGGTCAGAATCATTAACTGTGAGACAGTCACAACATCAAAGTCAGTAATAGAAGAGAAATAGTACCTGAACCAATGTACCTTTTTCAAAAGCGATTCAGTGATTTAGTTATGGTAAAGCATTTCCAGGGGGAATGAGCAATACTGGATGTGTGCAGGTGATCAAGGGCATAGATGCAATGTGCAATCCTCATTGTGAGGATTAATTTTTTTTTTAAAGATTTATTTATTTACTCATACAGAACTGGGGTACAGGCCAGAGATGCAGAGGGTGAGAGGATTCACCAGGAACAGAGTGGGAAGCAGAACAGGCGGATCGATGAAGTACACTGCTGAGGGGAGCAGCGGGAGGGTCAGGAGAGGTCTGCCGCGCCATGTGGTCACCTCCGGGGTAGGCGGGGATCGTACTCATGCAGAATTGGCTTAAGCTTCTTAGTGCAGTGCTTTAACCTGCTGCGCCACCAGGGAGGACCCTGTGAGGATAATTCTTAAGGGGTCCATGATTCAGTGAAGGACAGACATGGCCTTTCAGTGTGCACTTAGTGTAGGGTCTCTACCATGCACACCTGAGCACAGTGCAATATGGCTGCAGGAAAAAAATCTACTCTATAAAAAAATTCTCACCTGCAGTCCAGACTCTATGAAAATATGCATGTTGGTTTTCCTGCTTATAACAGCTTTCTGCCCGCCTCGAACTGGAGTTGGGGGGAGCAGAAGACAGCTCTGGGGTGGCAGGCGTGGATCCGGTGCAGGGGCTGTGGGAGTTCTGGAATGAGAAGTGGGGGGACCATTACCTCAAGCTGTGTTCTGCCCAGAAGTTCCCTCCACTTCCTCTGGTGCAAAGTGGGTAGCGCTAAGTGATGTACTATTTACTGTGGGCTTTTTCTCTCTTAGCTGCCAAACACAGAGATTCGTTGTTGAAAGGTTGCTAGGACAACCCCAGGAGATCAGATCAATCAGCACACACTGAAATTAAGATCCATAGCAAGAGGACCTTCCCTTTCTTTGATCCTCTTTTAGACACAAAAGCAAAACCCTGCTGAATTTATTGAGAAGGTACTTTACAGTCTTTGATGGCCTAGATCTCTGATCACAGCAAGAGGAATGCATTTAAAATCTGCCCTAATTACTGTCTAAAGTTAAAGTGGGATCAGAGAAAGGCCAGAATAATCGGCAGCTGTCCGTTACCTCATTCATCAGGAAGATGAGCTCATGCTAAGATAAGTCCCTTGGAAGGACCTCAGAGGTCTGAGCACCACAAAGAAGGGTCAACTTATGACTCAGAAAAGGAGTTTGACTAGAGCAAGTTATTTAAACAGTCTACTTAACAGTAAGTAAGATACCTAATGGCTTATCAGAAATAAACCGAAGGGATAGTTGGTCTAGTAAAAAAAACTTACTTTTCTTTCTCTGTTAACAGGGGGAGATTTTCACTGACCAACCCGTAACTGAGCAACATAACGGACTCTGCTGTCATCTCCTGATTTACAATTAATCCTGCGATGATTCGGCGTAACGTTTCATGAACTTTCCGGGCCAGTTTTAAACTCGTGGTGTTTTGTAAGATCTAAAGGCAAACGTACACATCACGCTGGCGTGTAATACACAACTGCAATTTAATTTGTTGTTTGCTCTTACATGGTTAAGTTTTTTAATGGTTGTCTTCTCTAAAAAAGGAAGACATTCTTAAATAAAAGTTCAAACACGAGCATAACATATAAAGCCAAACTGACCCTTGACCTCAAACCCAGAGATGAGCACTGTCAGTGGCGTGTGTGCCTCTCAATCTCTCGACCTGCTCCGTGCTGCCTGCTGGTGGGGTTGCAGGGCTCATGGCGGGACAACGATGTGACACCAGGCAGATGCCAGCCCTCCAAGTGCATTCAGCGGGGTGAATAAGCCATTACTTCAGGCTATGATGGCCAAGCTCAGGGTTTGATATTAGTTATTAGGTCACAAGAGTTAATAGGAACCCAGGCCGCCAGCCCAGCAAAACAGCACTTCACAGAGCTTGCCTTGCACAGGACACACTTTTACTACCGTGGAGGCACATGACTCTACATGGGATCTAGTGGTTCTTTTTGTCCTCAAAACACACCTAACTTTTTCATATCAAAATCAGATATACAATTATCTGATTGCATAGGGAGTTAATCTAGCACCAAAACACTTGAAATAATAGTTATTTCATATCACTAGATAGTACTTCTTACTTTAGTGTTAGTACATAAAACCATAATACAGTGAAGAAATTATGTTGACTGAACATTCACCCCTGTACAGGCACAGAGAACATGATGCAGGCAGGTATGTTATATTCCCTGCTCAACAGAAGCAGAGTGAGAACAGTGAAAAGAATGTGAACTCTGGATTAGAAAGATCTTGAACCAAATCCTGATTTTTTTCCTTAACCATGTTCCTTTCTAACTTTCTGTGTATATGGAAGTATCACTGATCTCACAGGGAGGTGGTCCAGATTAACACAGATAATGATGCCCAGAGATCAGAACATAATATAGATTGTGGATATGCCAGTCCTCTTCTTCTGGCATTCTGGAAGCTGCGGTGCAATTCCTCCACACCTCATTCTCGTTGCCTTTCCTTTTGCTTCTCATGTTTATATCAGGGACTATCACTCTTGAGTAGAAGGCCCAGCTTAGGGCCACCCGCAATGGCCATAAGGCCTTGGCGTTCTTAGTACCAAAGAAAACCTGGTGATCAAATGTAGTATTAAGGTACGTCCTGCAAAGCTCCTTTCTAGAACTCATAATATAGCAACGTGGGATCTCCTATATTGCATTAGCGTCCTTACCTCTTTTAGTGGGAGGATAAGTTTCGTAACCTGATCTTTTCCTATAAACTTGCCCAGGATTTCATAAGATTCATAACTCTTGCTTCTTCGTGCCTCCATGACTTTGGATAGGATCTGTTTTACTTCCTTCTCTTCAGCAATAGCACCAAACAACTCATGGTTAAAAATCTTTGAAAGAAAAAAAGTCAAGGGGCAATTAAATTGTGCTTAGCAAAATAAATATTTTGAACACATCATTCATAAATCCAGATTAAGGAAAGTATGTGGAACTAGACTGAAATCAGATGGTAGGAATTCCTATTAGTTTTCAATGTAGTTTGGGAAGCTTCTAATTAGAACAAATGTAGTAGATGTTCCTTATCCATGCTTTTGCTTTCTGTGGTTTCAGTTACTGTGGTCAAAAGCCATCTGAAAATCTTACATACAAAAGATACTCTGAGAAAGACCACCTACATAGCTTTTATCACATTGTTACAATTGTTCTATTTAATTAGCTACTACTAATCTCTTATGTATCTAATTTATAAATTAACCTCATCACAGGTATGGATGTATGAGGGAAACACTAGTGTATATACATGGTTAGTACTATCTATGGTTTCAGGTATCCACAGGGGGTCTTGGAATGTACCCCCCTACAGATAAAGGGCGACTACCATACAGAAACATACTTAAGGTTTATAATAATGGGGAACAAAAAGAAGACTACTACATAGACCTCTATATAGATTAATACAAAGACAAGTACTTCTTTGGTACTGAAGAGTGGCTTCATTTCTCTTTAAGGAATTTAAGGAATTATATTTACAGCTTAATTATCATTAGTGATTTTAATTAAAAATGATAGTATCTACATTTTATTATGAATGAACAAAAATGGTTGTGCGACAAATTTTCCAGTCTTCACATTATCGGAGTTCAGTTGATGATGACGGAGTTCATATTTCACAATTCCAAACAAGGCTCTGGTGAACAAACTTTTATATGAACAGCAGACCACATCTCTGATTATTCTTTTTTTTTAAAAAAATTAACATATATATATATTTAACCCACCCCTGCCCCGTGACTGTTCTTATAAAAGAGAACATATTTTTGAAAGTGGTTGACAATTTTGCCTGTTTTAAAGCAAAATTGTTACACAGTGCCAATTTTCTTCCCATAAAGATTATCCCAGCTCATGAACTGCTGGCAATGGCAAAGTCCGTGTCATTTCAGTTATAGCTTAGCTTTTTTAACCCTCTGCTGACTAATCCAAGAATCTTTTCATTTTCATACACTATTCTTATTTCTTATTTTGTGAACTGATTTGGATTCTTTGCCCACTTCAAAAACACTGGAATTCTTTCTCTAAATCTCACCTCAATCATGATATTTAAACAAGGGTCCAAATCCCCAACTTGTAGCTTGTTGGTGAGGCCTTGCAGCAACATGTGAACAGTGAAAGTCAGCACATGGACCTAAAGTGCAATGCATAATAAGAACATCAAGGGTTAGATATCATAGTAGAACAAACAAGATCTCAGGTGTGCTGCAAAGAAAATACCCGTCATTATTGCAGGGAGAAGCTCAGACAAATATTACACATGTTTACATCAAGACCTAAAATCCTTCAAATGGTCCCTCTGTACAGAAGATGCCCAGAAACACCACCTCCATGCTTAGGAGCTACTGTTGTGATAAAACCATGCCAGTGGTTTATAAAACAATGCGTAAGAGCTCTGACTTTAAAAAACCAACCTGACTTACAGAGCTTACCAAATTTAAATGCAATGACAGCTGGTACAGAAAGTGTTATGAAGGCAACATGTTTTGCCCTTAGGAGTTATACCGCTAACATTCCTAAGTTTGCTATTGGTGAGGCACTTTCTTAACATCTCCCTTGTATGAAATCATTGAAATTCACTTGATCCCTGTTGTAGGCCAGATAAGGAAGTGGAGGCACAGAGAGGTCAGGTGAAACGAGTAGACACTAGACAGTGAAGGCTTTGAGATTAAGCGGGGAGGGAGGAAGGGTAAAAGGGACATAAGGAATAATGGTAGGAAAAAATAAAACACTCAGAAGACTTGAATACCCTTGCTTGCCAACCTTATTGAAGGCAGGCCCACATTACCATGACTCAGTATTCAAACTGAAAATATTTGAACTTCACCCCAGTTTAATACAGGAAGCACATGATGCAATTCACCTGGTATCCACGGACAAGGGTAGTCTGTAGTTCTTTCAAAATATATTGTAGGTAATGCACCCCTAGATCCTCTATTATTTTTGCAAGAGTGCTCCGTGCAATGTCTCTGATTTCCTGTGCTCTGTTCTTAAGGAGGGCGCACACTTTGAGCAAAATACTAGACAATGAAAAGTTAGAAAAATTAGTTAAACCAACAGCAGCAAATAACAGCAAATATTCTTTTGTCTCTTAATTGCACTAACCCAAGTCTCCCAAATTGGGGTTCTAAATCAGAGTAATTGTAGCAATGCTTTCCATCTTCCCAAAAAGGGATTCAAAAGTGGGCAAAGGGTTTAAAGTCTCAGTGCTATCAAGCTATTGCCAAGCACTGCAGCAAGCACTGGATCCCCTCAGTAGATCCGCCTGTTCTGCTCCCCACCTGTTTCTGGTAAATCCTCTCACCCTCCTACCCCCAGCCTGCACCTCTGGCCTATACCCCAGTTCTTGTATGCATAAATAAAAACAAATCTTTAAAAAAAGAGAAAGAGATTTGAAAGTCAGGAGGCAACAACTAACACTTGCATTTTAGTGAACTCGAACACTTGCCACACCACATACCTTGGTAGATTAGCTTCCAAAACTTCATGTGGAAGGGACTGCATTAGCTTAACCATGGCGAACGCCAAGGGGACTCGAACCACTTCCTCATCATTCACAACCTTTGATTTGATGAGCTTATGTTCTTCTTCCCTTTTAGTCTAAAAGAAATTTTTAGATTAAACTGAAATAAAAATTAAATGGACCAGGAACCTACAATCTTGCCTTTGAAAGACAAGTATTTTGGATATACCTGATGTTTATTCCTAAGGTTAGTATCTCAAAAAGATTTAAATTATGCAATTTGAGAAACCCTCTAAATAATAGAAATAAGGTTCTTTTCAAAGTTCAAGATGCTTATTTCAAAATATATCACATAAGTCTGTGTCAACTGAACTTTCATTGTTTGAGTGACACTGATACATAATACAGTTCTTTAAGTAAGCTTATTTATTTACAAATGCACGAAAGAACCAAATCAATATTTTATAACCTGGTGTTGGCAAACTTTTCTGCAATGGGCTGGACAGATTATTTGTTCTGTTCAAGACTCTCAACTGCCTTTGTAACACAAAAGCTCGATCAGACAGCAGATTACTTGAGTATAGCTGTATTTCAATCAAACTTCAGAACTTCAGGCTGTGGGCTCCATCCAGACCCTGGCCAGTTCTACACTGAGAAGGAGAGGCTCTGTTTGATGAGTATACTTCCTCCATGCTATTCCTAGCAACTTAGGGAACAGAGATTTTTTTTTTAAATAACACAGAAGTGGTCAGGTAGAAAAGTGACCAAGACTCTAATGTTTAGTGATCTATGGAATAGGAGTGATCTTAATATCTACACAGGAAGTTGAAAAGCATATATGCACCATGTCAAAATCATAGTGACGATCATTACTATCTAGCAACTGCAGATGAACCTGAAGGTGTCATGGTAAGGCAAGAGTCGGGGGTGAAATGTTCACAGGAAACAAAATCTGAAAGCTGAAGTCAATCAATAAGAGCTAGGAAGCTCAGTCTGTCAGGGACCCCCAGACTGCTGGGCCCCAAACAGAATGATTACCGTAGATGCCAGGCATTTATGAAGTCTGGGTAGGATATCCCCAGTAATGGTTCCTTGGATATTTTTAATTGTTTTCTCCAATTCTTCCTTATTCTGAGGAAGGGAAGAGATGAATGGTGTGACAGTCTCAGATTCCAAAGCTGATGTCCCTTCACCATCTGTGGGATCAGGGTTTCCAAGTTCTTCGTTGTGGTCTGACAAATGCTTGCTTGTATCTTCCTTCTCTTCCTCATCCACAGGCTCTAATTCCATGGCTTCGTGCTCTGGCAACTCTATCACTTCTATTGTGTCTATGTTTAGTAAACAACAAAAATCACCTTAAATCAAATAAGAAAACAGCATGGTTGTGGTAAGCAGGCTTTTTCCACTAACATCCAATTAAAAAACTACAGGCAAACAAGGTAAGTGCAGAGGAAATAACTCGAAACGAGAGCGCATTGGAGGGTTGTGTTCTCATCGTAGAGCTAATGAGGGGTAGAGAAAAGCTAACTAGCAATTATAAGAGTGTGGAATACAAGTGCAGGGACTTGGGGAACACAGGGGGAGGCTGGTGCCAGGAAGGGCTTAACTAAAAGAGAGGCTCCAAAGAACTGAAAGTGGAGGTCTCCAAAAGCATTCACGAATATGGAAGTCATAGCGGCAGTGAACATTTTCATGCAGAAATATCCCTTATTAGCAGTTAAGAAAACTAGACAGCACAGCATTGTGGGGCAAGTCGAGACCAAGGTAACAAGTTGTGTGACCAGGGTCAGAAAACTTAATCCTATGGGCTGTGGATTCTTCATCAGTAAAACAGAGATGGCACCGACTTCCCAAGACTACCTGAGGATTAAATGAAATAAAGTATACAGAGTACCTAATACATGTGCTGATACCTCACTGACTTTCAAAAAATGATTATTAACAATCTTCATTTTAATTTACTGGCTGTGTAACTTTGGGAATATCATTCTACATTTCTGAATCTTAATTTTTTAAAAAAGATTAATTTATGCATACAGAACTGGGGTACAAGCCAGAGGTGCAGGGGCGGTGAGTGGATTCACCAGAGACAGAGTGGGGTGCAGAACAGGCAGACTGTCAAAGTACATTGCTGAGGGGAGCAGTGGGTGGGTCAGGATAGGTCTGCCATGCTATGTGGATCACCTCCTGGGTGGGGGATCGAACTCATGCTGAAGCAGCTTTGGCTTCTTAGTGCTGTGCTTTAACCCACTGCACCACCAGGGAAGGTCCTGAATCTTAATTTTTTACATAAAAAATAAAGGGTGAGTAAAACCCAAGATTCTCATAAAGTTCTTAAGATAAATGAGAAATGTTTCAAATGTCACCAAAACGTATGAAGACATAGTTAAGCAGATTACATATTTTAATTTTTTAAGGTTCTGTTTACACAAAATTGCAATATGTAGAATCAACTGATGGAAGATAAATCATTAGGGCTTTATTTAATACCTAATTGTTAAGAACATTGGTTCCTACAAATTTAAACTTGCCTTTCTATTCATGAATGTGGTCCTACAGCGATTTTACTGTGAATTAAAGAGCGAGAAAATTCTGCATAGGAAGGAGCACTGGCGTAGAACAAGCTAAAGACCAGATATTTCAACATCTGTAGTCAAAACAATTAGAATAACTTTAAGTGCTTGTTCTTTTCTTTGTGGTGGCTGGAATCTCTAGTTCAATGTTCAGCATCAGCGGCAGCAGCAGCACAACTCTGTCTCATTCAGCTTTTTTTTTAAAAAAAGATTTATTTATGCACACAGACCTGGGGTACAGGCCAGAGGTGCAGAGGTGTGAGGGTGAGAGGATTCACCAGAGACAGAGTGGGGAGCAAAACAGGCAGACTGATTGAAATGCACTGCTGAGGGGAGCAGTGTGTGAGACAGGACAGGTCTGCTGCGCCGTGTGGATCAGCTCTGGGGCGGGGGATCGAACTTGTGCTGAAGTGGCTGCGGCTGGCTTCACAGCAATGAGCTTTAATGTGTTGTACCACCAGAGAGGGCCACCTCATTTAGCCTTTAAAACCGAAGACTTTCAGTCTTTTACCACCGAGCATGTTGCTCTATTACATTTTTCAAAGACATTTTTCAACAGGTTAAGGAAATTTTACTTATTCATTGTTTGATAATCATTTTTATTATGAATGAATACTGAATTTAATCAAATGTTTCCCTTGTTTCTATTTGATGCTCATAGGCCTTTTTGTGTGCTAATGTGTTACATCCCACTAACCAATTAATAAATGCACCATCATGAGTTAGTGGTGGTTTCTTCTTTTCCAATGCAACAGCTGGTATACAATTAGAAATTATCTATTCCTTGAATGCTGGCAGAACTTGCTTGTAACAGTCTAGGTCTGGCATTTTCATTACTGACTTTTAAGATTCAATTTCTTTAATAGAGACCCATTCAGATTTTCCATATCTTTTAAGTCAGTTTCTAAATTTTATTTTTCCAAGAGTTTGTACGCTTCACCAAAGCATTCAATTTTAAGTACAAAGATATTTTACCTTCCTCATTCAATTGTGATGTTTTGAAAGTCTCCATGTTGTTTATTACGTCTTTTAGTTTCACTGACATTTTCCAGGTTTGACCATTAATAATCTTTTCAAATGTCTATTTTGTGGTTTGATGATCTTTCTTCTTATATATTTCACTAACTGTTGCTCCAATTTTTAATTCTTAGTTTCTTTGCACTCATTTCTTACTGTTCTTTCGCCACATGGTAAAAAAACTGAATTTCTATGTTATAATCTACAGCTTTTATTTTTTAATCTAAAACGGATAGATGAGGCTTCTCTATTGTCAAGTATAATTTTACACAAATGGTCAAACCATTCCTTTAAATTTCCTCCTGACTCAGCCACTGACTGACATCAGTCGAAAAAGGGAAAAAGTTGTGTTCTGCCACCTTTATTTAATGGTCAGACATTCTCTAAGAATAGTATGGAAAATGAATTTAAGAAGACTTTAAAACTTACTTTCTTCATTCTCAATTTTTCTCATTTGTTCTTCAAGACATCTGTGGTCAAAATGGAAGGCTTCTAATACTATTACTAGTAAACTGTTAAAAAAAGTAAGCAGAAATGTTCATTTGATTCATGATATTTATTTTAAAAGGAGAGAAAATTTCAAGGCTTAGTATATCGTATTAGTTTTTACTAGTTTTAGGCATTTTTTACTTTAATAAACATTAGCATAACCTCATTAATACAAGGTAAAAGTTGTGATCACAGAAAGACAACTCAAGAAATATCCTACAATTTACATTTTAAAAACAAAAACACGAAGTTTGACCATACCTGACACCCAACTTTTGATTGATTTGTCCTGTTTGTAAGACATGAATGAAATGTTTCAAGTAATATATATATGCTGACCAAGAGAGGTGCTTGCAAATAGCTCCAATAATTTCTGTGGCAGCGATGGTTATATTTTCATGCTGTAAAATAAATGAAGAGCATCAACACAGAACAAGTATTTTCTAGTAAAATACACAGCTACCTCAATATATTAAAAAGCTTTGAGGGTCCGCCCTGGTGGCGCAAGTGGTTGGAGCACAGCATTATGATGCTGGCCATAGCACTGTAGCACCTCTCGAATTCAAACCCCTTCCAGGGAGCTGACCCACACGGCACAGCAGACCTCTTCTGTCTCATCTGCTGCTCCTCTGCAGTGTATTTCATTGATCTGCCTGTTCTGCTCCTCACTCTGTCTCTGGTGAATCCTCTCACTGCCCCCCAATCTCTGGCCTGTACCCCAGTTCTTGTGTGCATAGATAAACAAATCTTTAAAACAATAAAAAGCTTTGATAGTAGATTACCAGCAATTACACAAAATCTGTTGTACTCTTCTACAAAATAGTGATTAACAGTACCTATTCCAGAGGATTGAGCTGTGATGAGGATGAAGACTATGCATTAGAGTAATTAGAACAGTGCCAGTCTCTGGGAGAGAGGTAAAGAAGCTATGATTCCATAAAACTTCTTAGGAGCAACTTCGGAAAAGAATGGCTGTTGATAAGGGGAGTTTACCAGAATTAAGTTCTAAAATACTAAACTAAACGAATGCCATTTTAGTAAGTGGGGGAATCATCTGTGATTGGCCTTAATGAACTAACAGTGGAGATAAAAACAATAGCCATCATTTATAGGCCACTTACTACATCGCTGACATGGTTCTAAAGGCCTCTGGACTACTCTAAGACTCAAATGACAGTGACAACATCGATAACGATGACACCAACCCCATTCACATTTTGGAAAAATACATCATGCTATGCACTTTGTTTCTAGATCATATAACCCACCTTGAGCATTTTCTCATCAAAAATTGGAGTCATGGCATAGGGCATGATATAATTCTGAAGAGATTTACAAGACAGCACAATTTTGCCTTCCGTTAGTTGTTTTGCCAGTTTCTTCAAGGCTCTTGCTCGCCTGTGGATCTATGAGTTAGATAAAATAAGAGTTAGTTTCTAAATAATCTCATTTACAACCAGTTCCATGTCAGTTGTCATGTTCTTAAAGGAATGAACAAACGTCTGTATCTTGATTTGCTTCCAGAGACATAGTCCATAGCATTTACTTACAAGTTGCCCCTACAGCTTGTAATGCAGAGAAAGAGGATACTTTTACGGGGGTTCCAATACTGCCAAAGAAATCAGATTCCCCCAAACAATCATCTTCTATGTAAATGTCAATGACCACGAAAAGGAACGAGAGAAGTTCAAAACTTTTTGAGATGCTAATTTTGGAGGCACAAAAAAGTAGAGCTGTCTCCTACCTGGATATGCTTCATATTCTCAAAGAAGTCCATTTCTGGGTCGTGGCAATCAGTAAGCTGGACCAGATCTTTAAATTCTGGTTGGTTTGGAAAGGTTTGAATTAAACAGGAAAGCAGTGTGGTGTAATCTTGTTGAATAGTCTGCAAATACCAAGTCAGGAAACATTTTTTTTTTAATTTTAAAGAAAGCTTGCTTCCTACATAATACTAAAAAAATATATACAAAAAACATTATTATGTTTTTAACTAAAATGTTGCCACTACAATAAACGAACAATAGTAAAGTAGGAATAAATGACTGTTCTCCTTTCCATTTCCACCCCATTAAAAATCTGGTGAATATTTATTTACTCAGTCAAGAATTTTAATTAAATAGACTAAGCCTGTCCTTGTTTCTATACAACACCACCAGGAAGGGAAAACAAGTAAAGAAAAACCCTATTAATGTTAAAAAGACCAAGTTATAATCGCAAATCCCAATACCTCTGTCTGGCTCTTCAGTCCTTTCCTCAATCTCTCCAGCAGAGAACGGTGAATGATTTCTCTGTAGTCTTTTTCTGTGACGTTCAAGGCAGCCAGCTTTTTGATGATGCTCATCAAACACATGCTGGCATTGTCACTTAAAGACATGTCTCCTAGCTGGTGAGCAGAGGAAAAATCCCAAATTACTTTGTATTATGGAACATTATTTCCCAGTGCAAGAGCTGGTTGGATTTTGCCACTGCTCTGCATAAAAGCCCTACTAAGAAATATCCCCATCACAAGAACTTCATATCTGGAGAAGAATCAAACATGGGGTAGTAACAAATAAATGACTTTGAAGTGTCCGTTTCTGAGAAGTCAAATTTCAGACAACACTACCAACTGTTCAATTAGTTTGATTTTGCAAAGCAAACAGAAGAGAAGATTCACTGAAGTCATTTTTCAATACTATCAGGTGAGCACTGAGAATGAGAGCTGACCGATACAACTCTATAGTTAGTAGTTCTAGAGTTCTGGTTTGAGGAGTGTGGGTAGTGGGTGTGGGCTGAGTATTCCCGACTCTGCCAGTCAGGCAGTGGTTTGGAGTTCTGTGATATATGAAGGATGAGTCCCAATTAGACAATTACTTTTTCAAATATGACAATACTGAATGTGAGATGAGTAAAGGTAAAACACCACAAAGATGTGGTGTCACTGCTGTCACTCCATGGTCAACTACCAATCAAAGGTTTCATTTCCCCCATATTTGTGTTTTAATTCAGTTTAACAACATGGCACTTAACCTAGCTCCAAATTCTTTTATTGCTACTATATCAGTAAAAGAAGACAAGTTTAAATAGCGCTCATAACTTTAAAAAATTGAGATGTAATTGACATATGATAAAACAGCTGTAAGTGTACATGTCAGTTCTAGCACTTTCACAAGGTGTGTGATCACTGCCACTATCTGATTTCAGAACATTTTCATCACCTCAAAAGAAACCTTACACCCATTAGAAATCACTCTCTTTCCCACTCCCTGTAGCCTTAGGAAGCCACTAAGTTTTTCTGTCTTAGTGAATTTTCCTAAATGAAAGTAACCACTGTTTTGGCTTTTCAAAGAGCTTCCCCATATACTATTTTAATGAAAATACTTGATTTCAAATCATGAGAATAATGGTAAGTTCTTTGCCAAACAAATTTTTCATACTAAAAAAATCCTTGACCCCACAAAAAGCAAATTAAACATTAGGTTATGTAGCTGTATTATCAAAACAGTAACATACAACTCACAAATTTTTGCTATCAAAACCTACCTCCAGATTATAGAAACAATTATGTATGACCGGAATTAGGAAGTTAACATCTACAGTTTGCATCTCTTTAATATGAGAGGCAATGGTCTGGAATGTTGAGAAGCGAACATCAAAGTTGATATCATCAAGATGTCTTCGATCAAAGGCATTGAGCTGCAAGAAGTAAATTGAAGCCCTTATGAATGAAGTATATAGGTCCTAAATGAACAAAACTGATAATATTTTTGAAGCAGAAGAGAAATAGGTCTTCTTTCTTACCTTGACAACTTCAGTAACATATTTTAATTCACTCTCAAAATCAGAAAGTGTCTAAAAGGTAAGAAAATAGCGTATTTTTAGTGAATAAAGACTCTCTGCCCTCCTCCCTTTGGCTTCCTGCCCCCCCCCCCACACTTATATGAAGATATCATGGGTCCCCTAAACTTGTTAATGTGCTTTACATGTAAATATAATTTACAGGGGTGATTTGTGGTAAAGAAAAATAACTATTACAGACCTCGAAAACTGTACAAAGCAACTGGCGTGACAACTTGTTCTTAATAATTGAGAAAAGTTTTGCTAGAGGCTTGAGGAAGTTTGTAGGTTCCAGGCAATGCTTTAACAGATTTTGTATTGTCACCAGAATATCAATCTCCGTATCCTTAAGAATAAATAGCAAGAGAAATCATATTTCAGTTATCCATAAAATTGGTCTACTTGTACATTAATATATTACAGCTTAGAAAACAAGTGATTATACATACAAAATGTAGTTAAATGGAAAAATTATTTCATAGCCTTTTAACTTAATGTAGAACTCAAAATAACGTCCACTAAGAGTTTTTTCCTTTAATTTTAAAAGGAAACATGCAGAATGGTATTGAAATGATTTCTTTTACTGTCTAGTAAAAAAAAAAAAACTTATTGAAGTAAAACATAGATTTCTGGTTATCTACAGATCTGTGATCTTCTAAACTGAATTACTAGGTGGTCTAAGATGCTCAGTATAGTTGCTTCAGGACAGCTTTATAAATGCTGTTGAGTCATGAGAAGACTATTAATTCATACTGAAATAGGTGAAAATCGTATCAGAAACTCCTCAGCCTGTCCGAGTATGCTAAGAGCTTGACTTCTCACTCAGTTTTTTTGCCACTGTGCTGCACATTTAAAACTATACCAATGCAGGCCTTTCCCGATGGTACAATGTGTTAAAGCACTGCATTATGAAGCTCTCCGAGGCCACTGCAGCACGAGTTTGTTCCCTGCCCTGAAGGTGACCCACATGGCGTGGCAGACCTCTCCTGACCCGCCCACTGCTCCCCTCAGCAGTGTACTTCGTCAGTCTGCCTGTTCTGCTCCCTACTCTGTCTCACTCACCACACCTCTGGCCTGTACCCCAGTTCTGTAAGTATAAATAAATATTAAACAAACAAACAAACAAAAAACTATACCAATGCACCTCTTGGGTTCTAAAAGTCAGAGAGGGGCAGAAAAGTTCTGGAGCGGATGGGAAGCTAACCACAAGACAGGAAAGGGGCTGCTTAATACTTTGTGTGGCAGAGGACAATGACTTCACCTTCTAGCTGGTTTACCATTCCTACTTCAGTTCCAACTTTTCTCCTGTTTTCAATTATATAAACCTTCATAGTTTTTTCAGTTCCTTGACAATATATCACAAGATCTAACCAAAATAAGTATCACTCACTCATAAACCTGGTGATAGTGACACTACAGAGACAAAGTAAGAACTCCATGAATTCATACCTCAGCAATATTGCCACGGTGGAGGAAGGGCAGGAGAAGTGTGATGAGGAGAGAACTTTGTTCTTTGTCTTGCATGAATTTGCTGATCCTAGAAAAGGAAAAGAACTTTGATAGGCAAAGAAAGGCACTGAAAGGTTAATGCAGCTAGTTGTGTCCCTCTCATTTCTTGAACTCTGTGTTTCCAGTCACTGTCCTACTTCTTTTGTAATACTGGCCTAGGTGGGGAACAGTAAATGCCAGTGCTGTCAGCTGGCATTAGTAATTTTCACATTTGGTAAAAAAATAACACTTTTAAAAAGTGCCAAGATTTCTTTAAGGCTTTATGCTTACTATTTCAATTTAACTCTCACAGTACCACGTAGGAACTAGTCCTATTTTGCCCAGAGAAAACTGAGACTCCGAGAAGTGATGTCACATAGGCAGGAAGTGGTAGAACAGGTCTTTCAACCCTGATCTTGTTTATGCCTAACCTCTAATCTTTCTATGGCTACACAGCCAGCAGTAAAAGTCAATGAGCACATTTAACATGGTTTCCTGTTCTGTGTAACATAGAAATATAATAGTATTTCAAAAAAAATCTTAAAATGACATTTCTGGAAAATTCTATTATACCATTTTGCTGCTATTGTTGCTGCTGAAAGTAACAGAAAAAGTAAACTTTCAACAATGAAACCCTGTAATGGTCACTACAGAGCTTAAGATAGAATCCTTTTTGTCCTCAGGTTTACCTACCTTGCATTTTATGGCTATCACAACTATATGCAACAATGTCTGTTGCCAAAGAGACCTGTTAAAAATCACTGCAAGATTTTGATGTAAAACAAAAAAAACCCCAAACAATAAGCTCTTTTCAATTCTTCTAACTAAAATATCAAAAACTAAAAACTGATCTCTCAAAAATTTGAGAAAATTCAAATTTTTACTTGAAGAAAATATGCAAATAATGAAATAAACACACAAATCTACTAGTCTACTTTCAAATAGTTTATGTGGTCTCTCCCCTTTTATAATGAAATACAGAGCCATAAAAGATTTCCAGTGGCCACCCCAGCAGAGAAGCAGAATTCTGCTTTAATCCTGAAGCTCTTTTTTCTTATCATCAAATTAAAATAACTGAAAACCAAAATATAACTAAAACAACTGAAAACATGGACAGTAATGCTATCTTTTAAGCAGCAATACATCACTCACTTTGAAAGAATGCCAAGTTCCTTACTGACTCGAGCTCTGTTCTTTTTCTTTTTCACCTTTTCTGCACTTATTGTGGTTTTGCTGAGATACTGGAGAATAGCAGGTACATGAGGCAGAATTAATCGTCCCCCTGTTGTGATAGACTCTGAAACAGATAAAGATGAATGCTTTGATTTTAATTAATTCCTCTCTTGAATGATAACTGCACACTATCTTTGTGAATACAGGTAAGGAAAGCACTCATGGAAATTCCAGCTTACATGATTAAATAACCTTCTTACTCAAAATTGCTGTATCACTAGCTAAATCAAAACTATATTTAAGAGCCACCTGAGATTTTATTAAATCCATTTTTGGCAGTAGTAAAATACATTATTATTATTAGAATATGGTGGAAAGAATTCAGAGACGCAATGACTGAAGTCATTTGATACTTTCCTGGTTAGCTGAATTTTCTAGAGATGAATAATCTGAATTTCTACTACTGTAAAAGAAATTGAGTTTATATAAACTGATCTTAATTCTTAGAGAAAAAAAACTCTTACTAGCATAAGTTATTAAAACAGTCAAATTCTACTGAACCTTCCCTTTCCTCGGGAACAAATGCTACGCCGGGAATCTAAGACTCGCTCGCTTCGTGATCCCCACATACCATCTGCACCTTCTGTGTACACGCATCCAGTTACTGTCAAGCTCAAAACTGTCTCTGTGGGCTCAAAATCTGGAAGGTTAAGAAGATCATCAATGATATCCATCACCATACTGGCTGTGGCTTCAGAGAGATTCTTTGATGAGAGAATTGAAAAAACGTTGGTCAAAATATCACATTCTGGGTGTCCAGGCTTCTGTTTTGCCAGAAAAGGGAAATATCTGCAAGCAAAAACACTGTAACTGTCACCTTATCTCTCAATGTGTTTATTTCTAAAACACAATGCACACGAATTTCATACTGAGCTTATCAAATCTGTATGAAGATTAAAAGATTATTCCAAAGGTGCATTACTTTAAAAGCTAAAATGTGATGGGCAATTCTAGGAGGCACTCATGATTATGTAGGTCTTCTCTTTAACATTTCTCATTTAATCCTAACATCTTCCCAGCGTATTATTCTCCCTACATAACAGGGAAATTGACAGTTGTCCAAAGTCATTTAATAAATCGTGGAGTTGAGATTTGAACCACAGTCTAATTCCAAAGTCGAAGCCCTTCTTAAAGAGACATTAAAGACACACTTTTTCAATTATAAGGTGTCTAGACTGTGAATTCTTCTATAGTCATATACAAACCATGTATTGCTTTGTGGGAATTTGTATACCAACTGAATGTTTGCTGTATCCAGGTATGTAAAATTCAGAGATTGAGATCATTTTTTGGGGAAGGTGGAGGAATTCATGTCCAATAAACAAAGAGTCATACAAATGGTAGGAACTTCCCCTTTGTGAAACATTTCATAAGGGCAAAGGATATAGAGGCTTTCCAGCCAAGGCAAACCTGCAACTATTCTACAGCCAGACACAGAATCCTAACACAATTAGTGGGAAGACCAAAGTGAAAATAATAGTTTGTTTCTACTCATTCATAATCATTGAAAAAGAACTCAAGCACTTTAACATATTCAATACCAATTAACTGACAGGAAAGTTTTAATAAGTATATGCATACATCTTTGTCCAACAGATATCGGGCACAGTATGGGCAGGAACCGAGCAAGATACTTTACACATTTTCATCTCTATTTTATTTTTAAGATTTGTTTGTATTTGCATAGAAGAACTGGGGTGTAGGCCAGAGGTGGGGTGGGGGGAAGGGAGAGGATTCACCAGAGACAGTGTGGGGAGTAGAACAGGCAGATCCACTGAAATCTAATGTTGAGGGGAGCAGTGGGTGGACCAGGAGAGGTCTGCTGGGCCATGTGGGTAACCTCCCTAGCCTGGGATAAAGCCAAGCCATCCAAGTCATGCGCAGTGGCTGGTGATAGCTTGATGGCACTGAGACTTTTACCCCTGTGCTACCAGGGAGGCCCCTTCCTCTCATTATTAATAAAGTGGGGACTGCTATTATTTCCATCTTACAGAGGGTGAAACTGAGGCTTAGAGAAGTCAACTTTTCTGTATTAGACACAGTTGTGCTAGAATTTGAAGCCAGGTTAATATGGCTTTAGAGACCATCCTCTTAATCACTGTTTAGAATCGTCTTTAGTTTTTCAAACATAAAAGGTGAGAGAGCTGCTTTCCACTGTTGGCAAAATCCCTGTAAAAGTCCCATCAACTCCAGCATGACCTGGAAATGATCAGAATATTTCCTGAGCAATATAACTTTCTGCCACAAGACACTAGGCATTCTCCATGCTTACATGTTTGGCTCAGTCAAAAAAAAAATTTTTTTTTTTTTTAAGATTTATTTACTTGTACATACAGAACTGGGGTACAGGCCAGAGGCTCAGGGGTGGCGAGAGGCTTCACCAGAGACAGAGTGGGGAGCAGAATAGGCAGATCCACGAAGTACACTTCTGAGGGGAGCAGTGGGCGGGTCAGGAGAGGTCTGCCGCACCATGTGGTCACCTATGGGGCAGGTGGGGATCGAACTCATGCGGAAGTAGCTTAAGCTTCTCAGGGCTGTGCTTTAACCTGCTGCACCACCAGGGAGGGCCCTCAGTCAAAAATTTTAATCACTCTTTCAACATACAATGAGTATCAACTAACCATCACAGTAAATCCCTGTGAAGGAAGATATGACTATAAATGTGAGAATGTCTCTATCCTCAAGGAGTGTTAGGCAGGTGAACTATGAAGAGACAAGAGCATGACAAAGGCAGTATGTCATGACAGGTCCTTTCTGGAGTGCAGACAGCTTCTAGAAGGGAAAGACAGACACACCAGGCCCATAATGGTCAGAACCAGAGCAGCAGTTAATAAAGTGGCCAGGGCAGTCCCAGTTCATGTGGGTTGTTTTAGTTTAATTATTTGTAGTATCTCTTCTCACTTTCTACTGGACAATAGATTATGTGGTCACCCTAAATAGCAAACAAGTTGTTTTGGTTTTGAGTTCAGCAAATTTTTGTGCCAATTTAACCTTACTACTAAGCTTAAACACACTGCCGATAGTTGAGCTCCACCTGCATTTATTTAAAGTAAAATTCTAGACTTTCCTGTAGATGAAAACCTGTTGAGATAACTGACTGACATTATGTAAACTGTACCTATGCATGCCTACCGATAGGGCAATCTCAAGGGAAGTCAACCCTTTCAAGTGTTACTTAGGAAAGGAAAAAAAAATCTACTATCCATTTCCCCCATTGCTATATGCTTCTATTTCCCATTAATCAAAACTGAGTGAAGTCACAGAAAAGAACGAGGTTGCCCTAGCGATGTGGCTTGACAATTTGAGTAAATACCCACTGAATACAAAACTGAGTCATTATCAGAAAGTCTTCCTGGATGAAAGTGCTTTATAACTTATTTATATAAAAATTGTACAACTATAAAACCTTCCTAAAGTATGCCTACTAAGTGCTGCTAATCAATGTCCAGTGATAAAACAAGATATGAAATTGCTTCCTCAATTGGGAAATACATGAAAAGAGCATTTCCACCCAATAAAAATAAGACAGACTTTGTGAGGAAGATAGTGTCATGGCCTTTGGCTTGCTGTTGAAGACTACCTAATGGGAAACAGTGGAGACATGCTGGCACATAAGAAAAAAAATAAAATCAGCATGATCACAAGTCTGTAAAATCTAATGCTGAGATTTTAACACCACTACATTAATGGGCCAAACTAAAGTCTGTTTCCATTACTGAGATAAACAGCATAGGTAGTTTATCTCAGTGAGGATGCATTTGGCCTATTAATACAGCATCTCTGAACCAACAGTAGATGAAGATCCTGAAAACAGCTTAAATGTCCTCAAGTGAATGTTGATTTTATGTATGATTTTATTGTATACATGTTTAGCAGAGAAGACTAGAAAATCTAGAAAACCTCTGAAATTTTTCTGCCTTTAAGTGGAAACTGGGAAAAAGAAATAGAATACCAAATCAGTTTTTATTTTTAAGTAATGTTTATGTGATGATATAACTGTCTGGTCTGTTTGACTGTTTTCCTCTTTCACCATGCCAAATCAAAGGAGTGATATAGACTTTTACACATTTTTTACAACACTTCTAATTTTCTATTTTAAAAGCTTTGATGTAACATATATAGCTTTAAATTACATTAAACTGCAAAAGGTTAGGGGCCTTACCTGGTTGTGCAACGGGTTAAAGCACAGCACTATGAAGCTAGCCACAGCTGCTTCAGCACTGATTTGATCCCAGGCCAGGGAGGTGACCCACACGGCACGGCAGACCTCTCCTGACCCGCCTGCTGCTCCCCTCAGCAGTGTACTTTGTCAGTCTGCCTGTTCTTCTCCCCACTTTGTCTCTGGTGAATCCTCTTACTGCTCTTGCACCTCTGGCCTGTACCCCAGTTCTGTATGCATAAATAAATCTTAAAATTTGCAAAAGCTTATCTGTCTTTTTATTATTATAAATATTTCAAACACTCCATAAAAATATGCTAAGATGGTTCCCTACCCCATGGCCCATAGAGACATCACATGCTATTACATGAACAGAGTCTCATGTCTTTCTAGGTACTTTCAATTTTAGTTTATATTTACACACACGCCACCCACCTAACATATACACATAAAGCATTTTTCTTGAATCATACTATACAATTGAAACTTTCATATTTCTTAATTGCATATATTTTGAGATTTGGCTGCTTTATTCTTTAACTTCCTCTACAAGAGTTCACTATATGAAAAAAGCATAAATTATTAGTCCCCTTAATTACTTTTGACTAGATTAGTCTGGACACTGCTTTTAAAGGTGAGTTCCTGGGGAGGGGAGATTATACCTTGCGTTTCTGCTCCAAATACTAATCAGTTTCAGCAGAGGTGTAGGAGAATACTGACTCTCAGATCCAAGCCTGCTGATCTAGAACACAGAGGAAAAACCAAATACCAAATAAAAACACAGTATATGGGTGGGTAACAAAAAAAAAAAAAAAAAAAAAAAGAACTAGGCATCAAGATAAAGCAAACACAGGAAAACATTAGCAATTTGAGGGGCACATACTGTTGCCTTACTGGTCATTCAGGTTTTTTGTGTGATTGGAAAAAATACTTAGGCATCAGCCACATAATGAGCTTTCAGTCACTATCAATCGCTACAGTATAA